TATCTAATAGAAATTAATCTACCTATTAAATAAGGTTTTTATTTGGTTTTAAAATTGAATACATTTATAGAATAATTTATTGCATCATAAACAATATACTAACCACATCAAATAGCAATAACATAATTGTAAATTTCATTAGCAATTATAAAAATAAAATAAAATTAAAACTATTTATGATTTAGATGATAAATATACCAGTAACACTTTATTAAAAAAATATTGCGATTACGCGGTACCAACAATATTTAACTGACCAGTTTTCAAACATATTTTATAAAATCATTGGAATAATGGTACGATTTATTACAGAAGCAACTATTTACGAGACTTTTATTGTAAACACTTGTTTAGTAGCAGATGTAACTCGTAGATTAGAACTTGTAACTGTTCAATAAAATAGGAATGAGACCTGAAATCAGCATTACTTACTATATTAAGATCAATTAATTTTTTTAAATAAAATATTTGTATGTACAATTCATGTAATCAATATTCAATTCATACTAAATTTACTTAAAAATTAAATCTATACACGTCAATGTGCGTGCAACGTAAAATTTACCATGGGAATATGTCAAGTTACGTTTATTTCTTTACGTGCAAATAAGATAATCGTATTTTTTTCATAAATCACAATATAAACAAAACGTGTAATTTAGTAAAAATTTCTGTTTATATTCTAATAGTCCAATCCATCATATTTTACTAATTATAGTTATTATGCAGATGATGTAACTGTTGTAAGTACCTAATGTACTAAACCTGTGTACAATAATAACAAGCATGATTTCGTGAAAATAATTATTTTTGTCAATTTTCAAATTTACAACGAGTAAAATATATAATTAATACTACACATAATACAATATTTATATTATTATTTTTGTAAAAAAATTTAAATAAGTATATCATTCTGTATAATATGGCATTGTTTTTATCACACAAAATACGTAAGTAACCACCAATTAATCAATAAGTCAATAAATTGTGACACTTAATGTTAAATATTTTAATTAAATATAGACAGATAGCTACATATATATAATTCTGTAGTTAAATTGATAATATAGTTTACAGAAGTATTCATTATATAGATATTGAAGAAAAATATAATAGGTAAGTATTGATTAAAGAATATGAGTTTTTTTTATTATATATCTACTTTATCCGGTTGAATATTATGACAAAATCTAAAAAAAGTTATGGACAATATTATAGAAGTCATTTTACATTTACTTCATTAGACTTTTGTATATTAAAAATTATGAATAAATGGAAAAATGTAAGTTATATCATATTCTATAATGGATCAAGAAATTTTTAACTATAGTTAAAATTCTTATTTTAAATGTAAGTATAGGTATAATTTATTTTTATTTTGTAAATTTTAATCAAAATATTTAAAATGTTGCTTCTTTGAACCGTTTACAACAATTGCAGTACAGCGAAATTCGGTTCTCATCGTATATTATTAAAGAAAACTAATTTTTCTCATTTTTCTTATTCAGAATATTTAATTTTTTATAAATTATTAATATTTTACAAGTGTATATTTATTTAATAAAATAATTTTAATTTCAAAGACCAACTAAAAAATATATAATGCAAGAAACATTTCATAATATGTTATTTTTGTCAATAACCATTATCATTAAGGATTCACACTACACATAAATCTTCTAATAATTCGATTATTTGACATGTGCTCTAATACGCCAATGATCATCCTTTTGACTTGTGCCTCGTTTACCAAAAATATTTGGAATAACTATTTAATTTGTGTAAGTCTTACGCTGTAAGGTATATTTTTTCCAACTGCAAGGGAATTGACCCTCACCTTTCGCTTCACGAATCAATCACTTACTTAGTAGTAGACTAAGTCTTACTACATACTCACATACTAACTACCTAATTTTCACCCTCAATTCTATTCAAATTCATCCCTCCCTCAATCTTCCCCGGTTTTTCTTTACTAGTACATTATCTCTCATGATGTTATCCACTATTTATCTCAAATATCCTCTAGGATGCCTAAATCTATATTCTCTCTCGTTTCTTCCACGATTGGTACCTCTCCTAAACTAATTCTTATAGCTCTGTATACTCTTTCCGTAACTTATCCTCCTTAGTCACTTCACTCATTCTATATAGCTTGTATATTAATATATTTTTTATTCTACCTTGTCTAATTTTTCAGCTGGACTCACCATTATCTTACACATTTATATTTTGATCTTATCGATATCCTCTTATTACATTATACCCCCGACGTTTATCTCCACTTAATCCGGGTGAAGTGACCCAATCGCACTAAGCTACATTATTTTTAATCTTGTATAATACATAATGATGATTTTATTTCTTTCTTATGTATAATATTTATAGAATTTTTAGATTTTCATTCATTATACTTATAACCGAACCAAATTCAATGAAAATTCTTTCGATATTATAACTAAAAAACAAACTTATTCGTATTAATTATTTATTCGTTAACTTATTGTTGTTTATTAGAACTAGCTCCGCTATTTTATACACTAATTATATTTACCAAACTACTATAAACAGGTACCTAGTACTTTTATACGTATATGATAAAAACTAACTAGGGAAAAATTGCAACAAAGATATTTATGATCGGGTTTGAAATATTATTTAAATACATAAATTAGTTATAAATAATTACAGACAAAATAAATCATTTATATAAAATACGTTTTAGGTACATTAATGTCAATTTCATGTTTATTAATATTTTCAAACTATTCGCATCGTATGTTGGAAGACAAGAGCAATAGCTTATCCATTCATAATGTAGGTAACTAAAATAAAATGTAATAATAATAATTTTATAATATTTAAAAATCCTATATACCTACCTACTAGACAGTGATTTTTCAAATTAAATATTTCATTTGATACTTCATTAAAGAAACACATTCACATTCTTAAACAATATTATGTAAAATATGATGTACTAAAATATGTTACGTTTAGTGATAATTTTACACTTTTTTAAATAAAAAATCCTCTTTATTCTGTAAGCTGCTACTAAATAGTTGTTTAGTAGTAGAATTTGGTAAAATCCAGTATACACAATTTTTCAAAACTCTAAAATGCATAAATTATATTTATGATAGTTATTAAACATTAATATTTGCTCTTCAAAAATTATTCTGTTTCGGAATACGAAATGAAAATTACAAAAATGTAGTTTCATAGATATACTAATTTTCAACGCAGAAATTGACTAATATATGGGTTAAAAATAGGTATCGTTTTAAATTACTATGAAATCGCCTGTTCTTATTTATATACTTATAACTAAGAACTAGAATTATACAGGATATACTATATGACTGGTCTTGTTTGTACACTGACTTTTGGATATCCAACTATACTACGATAATTTTTAAACGTATGAATGCAATTAAAATTTGTATGGAGATTTTTTAGAATTTTAATAAAATCGTTATTTTATTTTATTAAAAATAAAATTTATTTTAACCAAAATTAATTTTATAAATTGATTATTTGCTTATTTAATTTGTAATATTCAGCCGGAATGTACTTAACAAATGATAAGTTCAATGTGGTTAATTTTAATTCATTATAGAAATAAAGGAATAAGTTATAGTAATAACTTATAACAATTTTCAGAGACTTTAATTAAAGCCATCATTTCATTACTATTTTGAATATACATGAAAAATTAATGATACAAAAAAAAATTAAAAAAAAATTTGGTTTTTAATTATATTTTTAAACGTTTGGTACTTCAACGTTAAATAAGTTTTAGAACGTCAAGATAAAAATATTTTTGAAAAATTATTATTTCTATAAGAAGTCTGAACGACCGATGTTTATCAGACGGCTTTTTTATTTTGACATATAATTGTGTGCATTCGGCGACGTACCTGTTGCACGTGTCTTTGTACCCGTGTATATTTATCCATATCACCAAGTAATCTGAAACACAGTAGTTACATTTTATCCTGTATAAAACGCATCTGAATGTTGAGAATAGCATATACGAATCTGTGACGCATATTACCTAGCGTAGGTACTTAGTCTGTCTAACCTATCGGAAATTCGTTTTAATGCCGCAACTACGGTAAATAATATGAAGATATCGTTATACTTGATCCAAGAGAAGCCGATTTTGTGAGTGCAAATACGAGATCGCGCGTACAATATGATTCCGATGGACCTATCTCGGAGGAATCGAATCAGTATGGAACGGCATCGATCATTGATCGGAAGGAGAAGACAATACTGTACGCGCATCGCATACGCAGCGCTAGCGATGTATACCGAGTCCCGGAGGACGCGTGTGTAGGTACAATACGCACGCTTACGTAATGACATCGATGTCGGGTGCGCACGGACGGTACGTGGCCGACAACGGACGAGGACAACGACGACGTCGCGAGCAGAGGACACACATGTGTGCGACGAAACGAAAGCGAAAAAAAATGAACAAAAAAAAACAGAATTCGTTTAAATTGGACGCGCGCGTTTTTTCCGGTGTTCGCGTCCCGTACACGCCGTGGCCGCCGCTGTAGTGCGATGGACCTGAGACGACTCGGACGACCCTCGCAATGATATCTGTCTCGACGATCTTAATAAGATATTTAAATTAATGACCCGCGCGCCTGTTGCGTTCGCCGTGTATACGTGTGTGTGTGAGTGTGTGTGATGATACGTGTGTGTATGTGAAATCCGCCGGTCGAATGCCGCCCGATCGAATCAAGGTTAAAGGGAGGATCCGTTTGCGGGGTCAGTCGACCGCATTCCAATATGGCCGACATCGGAATGCGGCGCGTTTTTGTGCCCGATACACAAGCGCGCTCGTATAATACGTTTTTTTTTTTTTACTTTTTTTTTCACCCGTAACCCCTTCCCCACCGCAAGAGATCCCCGGGTCGTACACACCCCCACCAACGTGGCTGCGGCGGCGACGAGAGGACTCGGTAAAAAATCCGACCGCCGCAGTCAGTGTTCGAACCTCCGAGACGGGTTTAACGCGTTCGTTTTCGCGTCCGTCCGTCCGTCTTGTGCGTGCGCGCGTTTGCGGTCGTCTCCCGGACGTGCGTATTTGTTGTATTGTGCGCCGCGATCATGTTGCGCCGGCGCGTCGTTCAAGTCTCCGCCGCGTCGTGAGCAACCGCACGCTCTAACCTCGGTGATCGTCTTCGCCACCCCACGTAAGTCGATCACGCTTTCACTCCAATACAACTGGGACTAACATCAACAAACGTACACCACCACCTACCGAAAAAACCCACGGGTTTTACACAATTATTGTTCCCCCTTCCCTAGACCAATGGTGATAACGACAATTATCACAACATTTCTCAACTTTCGCCGTCCGTTCGTTCTTCCGTATAGTATTTGTTGAACAGCGATTGCGTTCACCTGTTGCGTGCACCAACGACGTTCACATGTTACTATTTAATCAGAGAATTTTTTAAGTTCTATTCCTCTCAGAACCTATGTAACTCTTGACTTCATCGTCTCGCAGCATTTAATTAATTTCTAGTTTCGTTGTTTAATGCCTTTTGGCTACATTTCGCAAATACTTGTTGATGTATATATGCAAGTTTGTTGTGAATTGTTTAGAAATTATTGTATTTAATGAAACATAGGTAATTAGTGCTTTCACTATGCATTTCATATCAGGATATTATTTATCAATCAAATCCAAACATTTATTTTGCAATTCTCTTTATATGAAATATGTCTAATATTAATGTTTCCCTTGTTTATAACGCTGCATATACTTGAGTACTTAGATATTCAAGTTAAGATTTTATAATCCATGTAGGTATCCAGCGGTGGATTGGCTAAAAATTTCGGTCCGAGAGATTACTGTATGACCTGTACACTATCCAATAATAATAATTTTCCATAAAAGTTTCCTTTATTGATGGATTAAATGCTCGTAGAATTGTTTACATCATGTTTACACTAGGTTTTTATCACAATTTTACAATTAAATACAATATACATGATGTATGTAATGCATGTAATATACAATATTACATTATTTTTATAAAATAATTTTTAATCCAAGTACATTGGCCCAGTGCTATAATACGACTACCGGCCCACCGGGAACTTTCCCGTTATCCTGGTGGGCCAATCTGCCGCTATAGATACCCATCATACATTTGTGTTGGGAAAAAATGATCTAATTAAAAATATAATTACGTCGTATATCTCATAATAGTTTATTAACACCTGGAGTATCTTTTACACAATAGTGAAATTGTTATTGCTTTAACCCATTTCAAAAGTGAATAATTATCATGCAGTTTGGTAGTTAAACATAAATGTAAATAATAGAGAAATTCAAATAGTATTATTACTAGTAAACTATGAAAAGCTAAATTAAGCTTTAGCTTGTAATTAAACTGTTGATAATAATTTAATTTTACAACATGATGGGTAATCTTTAATTATACACTCGTATCCTTAAACTTAACTATCTAACTAATTTTTATTTGTTCTAAAAATGTTTACTTTAATAATTATAAAAGATAATTTTTAAATGTTTTAAAGATTTTATATACATTATTATATTTAGTGAATTACTACTATTAAATAAAAATAAAAATTAAAGTTTCGTTACCATTTTACATTCGATTTATTTGTATTAATTAATTTCTATCATATTAAAAAATTGATTTTTTTTTATTTTAGATTAAAATTTTACACAGTTATGTGATTATAGAAATGTTGTCAAAATCATGCCACAAAGAGACCTATCCGAGGTATTATTATTTAAAATAAAAAAATAATCATTTGTATAACAAATGGAGAGTATCAGAACTCTTAAAAAATTTTATTAATATTAAGGTGGAGCCGGAAAATGGATGCGGTGAAGAAGGTTTTATGGAAAAAGTTCGAGAGTCTAATTCGGCTTGTGAATCTGGAGACTATGCACGAGCCATACAATTGTATACTGAAGCTCTACGCCACTATCCTAACAACCACATTCTGTACTCAAATCGTTCTGCAGCACTTCTCAAACTGGGTAGATTTACAGAAGCATTGCACGATGCCACTTGTGCCCGCCAGATCAACCCAAATTGGCCAAAGGCACACTATCGAGAAGGTGTTGCTCTACAATGTTTGGGCAGACATGGAGATGCTCTGGCAGTATTTAGCACAGGGCTCTCCATTGAATCTAAATCTACTCAGCTTTTAGCTGGTCTTATTGAGGCTTCAATCAAGTCTCCTCTTAGAGGTAAGAAATTAAAAAAAAATTGTAAAATTTATATTATTTTTCATATCATTATACAAGTTATTTTATAATTAATAGGTGTACTGGAGCCTATATTTGAACAATTGCAAAGCATTAATCATAATGGAGTAACATTAGATAAATCTCCATTTCTCGTGATGTCTGTAATAGGCCAAGAACTATTAGCAGCAGGGCAATACTCTGTAGCTGTTGTTGTTTTAGAATCTGCCTTGAGAATTGGTACATGCAGTGCTAAGTTAAGAGGTTCTGTATTCTCTGCATTGTCTTCAGCTTATTGGGCTCTAAATTCTTTGGATAAAGTATGTACATTTTTAAATTTGTTTAAATAATAACATACATACACACACACACATACATAAATATATATATATAATTTATAAATCATTTAACTTAGGCTATAGGATATATGCAACAAGATTTATTAGTAGCTAAATCTTTAAAAGATATAGCTGGAGAGAGTAGAGCGCATGGAAATTTAGGATCAGCTTATTTTAGCAAAGGAAGCTATAAAGAAGCACTTACAGCACACAGATACCAATTAGTTTTTGCAATGAAAGCTAGAGAAATGAAAGCTGCAGCTTCTGCTCTCACTAGTCTTGGTTAGTTATTTATAATTTAATAACTATTTTTTAAACAGTAAAGATTTTTTTTGTAACATAGTTAATCGGGTAACATACAATTAATAGCTTTATATAATTTATTATTTAGGCCATGTTTATACAGCGATTGGTGATTATCCCAATGCATTAGCATCACATAAACAATGTGTACAGTTAGTAAAACAAATTGGAGAAGTTCTTCAAGAAGCAAGAGAGATTGGTAATGTTGGTGCTGTTTATTTAGCCATGGGTGAATTTGAAAGTGCACTAGATTGCCATATGCAACATTTAAAATTGTCAAAAAAACTAGGAAACAAAGTAAAATTTAATTTAATTATTATCTCATTTTCATTTTCATTATCTCTTATATTTTTTTAAGGTCGAAGAAGCACGAGCTTATAGCAACTTAGGTTCATCATACCATTATAGGCGAAATTTCTCTCAAGCTATTACATATCATGAAAATGTTCTAAGGCTTGCTCAAGAACTTGGGGATAAAGTGATTGAAGCTAGGGCATATGCTGGATTGGGCCATGCAGCAAGATGTGCTGGAAACTATTCTCAAGTAAGTTTTAAACATATGTATAGACTTACTATCAATTTTTATAATCACATTACTGTCATAATGTTATTTTATTTCTAGGCAAAACATTGGCATGAAAAACAATTAGACATGGCATTAAATACACGTGACAAAGTAGGAGAAGGAAGAGCTTGTTCTAATTTAGGTATTGTGTATCAGTTACTTGGAGCTCATGAATCAGCATTAAAACTTCATCATGCACATTTAAATATTGCCAAATCATTACATGACCGAGCTGCCATGGGAAGAGCATTTGGAAACATTGGAAATGCTTATAGTGCTATGGGTTTCTATGAGCAGGTTAAAACTTAAATGAAAAATAATCATAATTTTTATCCAAACTAATAATACAATTTTCATTAGGCAATTAAGTATCATAAACAAGAATTAACAATATCAAAGGAAGTTAAAGATCGAAACTCTGAAGCATCTACTCATGGAAATCTAGCAGTAGCTTATCAATCATTAGGAGCGTTTGAAATGGCCCTTTTGCATTATAGAGCTCATTTAAATATTGCAAGAGAACTGAAAGATACAGCAGGAGAAGCCTGTGCTTTATTAAATTTAGCCAATTGTTTAAGTACTAGAACTGACTTTTTACAGGCCATTCCTTTTTATGAAAACTATTTAATGCTATCTCAGGTAAATAACTTATAATAATATAATATTAATGTAAAATTGTGATTGATTAATTAATTTTATTGCAGGAATTACATGACGTTGAAGGGGAAGCAAAAGCATGTCATTTTCTTGGTTATGCACATTATTGTTTAGGTAATTATCGAGAGGCTGTGAGATATTATGATCAGGATTTATCTTTAGCCAAAGATCTACAAGATAAGATGAATATGGGCAGAGCTTACTGTAATTTAGGTCTTGCTCATTTAGCATTAGGAAATCTGGAAACTTCACTTGAATGTCAAAAATACTTTTTAGGTAAAAATAAAAATATACTTATCAATATATACCTATTTATATATATATACTAACCACTTGTTTTTTTAGCAATATCACATATGACAAAAAGCTTACAGGCAAAACTTCGTGCTTTAGGCAATATTGGAGATATACTAATCAAGATGAAAGATACAGAAGAGGCTCTTAAAATGTATCATCGACAATTTACACTTGCTAGACAAATTAGAGATACAAGCATGGAAGCAGCAGCATGTAGTTCTCTTGGATTAGCTAACAGATTCATAAAATGTTTTGACAAAGCTTTATCTTATCATTGCCAAGTGCGAAATAAATAGAAAAGTAATTTAATTAGTTGTTTAAAATTATTATGGTTAATTATTTCAGGAGTTAGCTCTAAGACAAGAAGTAAATGACTTGAAAGGTGAATGTTGTGCTCATGGACATATTGGAGCAGTATATATGTCTCTTAGAAATTATACTAGTGCAATAAAATGTTATCAATTACAGCTCGAACGAGCAAAAGAACTAAGAGATAACACAATTGAAGCTGAAGCTTTTGGGAATTTAGGTGATTACCGTATAATTTTAATTTTTAAAAATGTATTTAAAATTATACGCGAACATTTTGAAAATAGGTATAGCAAGAATGAACATGGGAATTTATGAAGGAGCAATTGGATATTTTGAACAACAATTAGCCACTTTAGAACAGTTATCTTCTCACACATCTTTAACAGATAAAGTCAATATTTTTAGAAAAAAATATTTTGTTTTATTTTTTAATTTATTTTAATAAAATAATAATTTCTTTAAACAGGGTCGAGCATTTGGTAATCTTGGAGACTGTTATGACGCATTAGGAGATTTTGATGAAGCTGTAAAATGTCATGAACAATTTTTAACAATTGCAGTACAACTTCAAAATCTTCGGGATCTTGAAAAAGCCTATAGTTGTCTTGGTCAATCATATCGGCGTATTGGACACCTTGATCAAAGTCTTGTTTGTTTTGAAAAAATACTAGTCATTGCCCATGAACTTAACAATTCAGAAATGAAAGCAACATCATATAGTGAATTAGGTTCTAATCATATTATGATGGGAAATTACCAACAAGCAGTGTCTTGTTTACAGAATCAAATTTCAATAGCCAGAGAATTAGGAGATAGAACTCTTGAAGCAAATGCAGCCTCTGCTCTAGGTTATGCCCATCAATTGATGAAACAAAACAGTGTTGCTCTACACTATTATAAACTAGATTTAGAAATTGGCAAGGAGCTCAATCAACCATTGCTGCAGTGTCGAGCATATGGAAATATTGGGAATGTGGAAGAGATTTTAGGAAACTTAAATGAGGCTATTAAATATCAAGAAGAACACCTGTCGATTGCTAGTCAAATTGATGATATAACTGCAAAAGCTGCAGCATATGGAAGCTTAGGATCATTGCATCATACTTTAGGACATACAAGTCAAGCAATAATATATCTTACTCAAGCCCTACAAAGTATTGACATGACAAGGAAACCCGATGAAGAAGGACGTATTAGATTTAAACTTGGGATGGCATTATTAGCTGATGGACAATCTGATGCAGCAAGAGGTCATTTAGAACAAGCATCTGAATTATTAGATAATGCCCTAAATACTATTACTCTAGAAAATTCTCAATCTATAACTCAACTTAGACAAGAATGCTATCAAGCTTTACAAGTAAGTTAAAGAATTATATTATCTAAAATTGATCTAAAGTAAAATATTGGTCTCATGATAATGTGATCTATAGGTATAAGTTTATCTCGTATCATAATTTTTAAAAATTCCACCTATTAAGTTATAACAACAGTTTGATTTCATTAACACCTATTAATGATTAATTTTTAATTTATATCTTGGCTGCATTCTTGCTTCATTTTGTATTTTATTTGGATTCGTATACATGCATATTAAACTGATAAAGTATTATATAATCTATCTAAAATAAGTAAAATGATAAATTTAATTCGGGCGTAAGATGTTTAGGTGCAGTATGAAAAATGTATCCGAAACTTAATACGTTTGGGTGCGTATTGTAGAACTTATGTCTATAACGCCACCCAATGTGACAAACTTAGTTGATTATATTCTTGACAGCTATGTACCCTAAGATTCATAATGTCCACTTCTTATTTGGGCTGAGGAGCAATTTTCATACTCAAAAACAACTAATGACACCGAATCTTCCCATTCAAATTATAACCAAAAATTTACAGAAACAGCATCAAAATCATCAAAATGTTATAAATGTATTGATAGAAATTCTAACGAGAACCCATTTAAAAATAAACAATATTGAAAAAAGTAACAAATAAACTAAGAAAAGGAACTGAAGAGAAAAAACAATTTGTACAAAAATATTGGAAAATTTATCTAAAAAAATAGACGGATAGATCAGAAATTTTAAATAATGTATATAATATATATATATACAAAAATAAAATTAGGATGTTTAAAAATAAAAAAATACATTTTTAAATATTTTTTGAATACAACCACCTCGTGATGTCCTTTGGGTAACGCTAATAGGCTCGAATTTAGTATAGTATGTAAATATATGGAAATAAATATATGTACCCAAATATGCTATTAAAAAGAAGAGTATTATGCTCAAACATTGTATGAATTTCACCAAAAGTGTTTCTCCCATTCAATTCAAGTCGACAAAAGCATTTTAAAATTAGTGACCTTGAATATATGGTTTTCCCAGCTGATCATAATATCATTGGTTAGTAAAAATATAGTGGGGGTCATATAAATAGGACTACACTGCCAATGAGAAACCATATATTGTTTGGTCCTGATGACGGTTTCTCCCACGATCAGTCTACCTCAATATTTTGTAGTTAACATAAATGGAATACATGACCATCTATTTAATCTATTTAATCTATATATCCATCTATTTCATCTATTTAATATAAAACAGAAAAGAGTTTATGAAAGAAGTTTAGTTCTGAATATATATATATTTTTTTTTTAAATCAGCCAATAATAAATGTGCATAAATGTAAATTGTGTCAAAAATACCACCTACCATATTTATTACCAAATATCTGTTTAATTAAATGGTAAAAGTTGTTAATTCAATTTTCATAAATTTATTTAATAAATATAAATGTAAATAATATGAATGTAATGTAATATAAATGTATTTTACAAATAACGAATCATTTCAAACGCATATAACTTTACTTTTTTCACGTCCCACTGATATGCTATTGTAGATTATTATCAATTTTCTTATATATTTTGGCTAACAAACTGGTCACAAAAAATATGCATTCGATTATAATTTTTATACCACAGAAATACATTTATAAGAAGGAAGTTATTACTAATTATTAATTTTTAGTTCTAAACAAATATTTAGTCAAAATTTATAATTTTTACCGTTATCTTTAAACAATTTGATATTTAATTTTAGTTTTATTAATATTTTTATGTTGAAAACATTAGGTTAATTTAGTAATTTGAAGTTTGGATGATTAATTTTATTGAAATTTTAGTAATTTCTGCTCAAACATACCGAAACATTTTTCAAATTTCTCAACTCAAGTTTTAGACTCTTGAGTAGAATTTGAAGTGTATTGGTTTTTAAATTATATTTATTTTTCTGTGATTAATATGCCGATAAAATACTATTTTATTAAATAATCAATACTATTTAATTTGTACTATAATATTGAATACAAAATAAATTCGAATATCTTATACATAGGCGTAAATTGGAGGATCTTGGAAGATTTTGCCCATTCCAAAAACAGCCCCCTTGAAAAATATTGATTATAAAATGTATGACATCATAATTAATTATAACCATAAAAATAATTGGTATGTGGATGTTAATATAGAGAATAGATTAAATTAATATTAAAATGTAACTATCTATTTTGTCGCTTAAGGTTCATGCATAATATTTATGTATTGTAAAAACATATTAAATTATAGAACTCGTCACTAGGTCAGGGGTCAGGAACCTTTTAATAGGAAAGGGACATTTTTTAAAAAAAGTTACTAAACTATGATGCCCAGGGAGCTGTATAGGTTCGTCGACCACTGCCTTATAATAAACTAAATTTACGCATATGGTCTTATATAGGTTTTTTGAAAATCATATACATATATATATATATATATAAGTTTATTTTAACTTTTATAATCCAGCAGCTAGCTTTTAGCTCTAAAATTAAAATTAAAGATATTAAACTATTTTAAATATTTACTCGTTTTTTAACTATGTACTCCAAAACTTTTGCGTACTGAATTATTATTTTTAATATTCCCTTTATATATAAACTTATATGTGTATATTGTGTATTGAATCATTTAAAAAATTTCGTCAAAACTCCTTTCTCATTATCCATTTTATAATTAACTTCATATACTTCTCTGGCTTTCTAATTAAATTTTTTGTTGGATTTTTTTGTTTGTATTTAGTTTTTTATTTATTTAGTTATCATACTTTACTGTAATTTTTTTTTCTCTTTAATAATAGCAAATTGAACCTAACAAAAAAAGTATTTTTCCAATAGTTAAATTTTTTACTATAGTTAATAGTATTTTTATTTTTAATTTTTTTTTTATTTGTTAGACTGTGTTGGTGCAACTAAATAGATGCGAAGAAGCTCTTTTAGTTTCCGAGAAATATCGTATTAGAGCAAAAACTCCTACTCACAATACTAGAGGAAAACCTTCTCCAGATTATTATAAAATCAATTCTATTGAAAATATACTTGATATTGTAAATAAACAAAAAGCATCAGTTCTTTATTATAGTATTGCATCTGGTTATTTGTTTTCTTGGCTTATTGTACCAAACAAAGGTAAATTAAATTTATAAAGTTTATTTGACACATCATATTTTTTATAATACTTTATTTCTGTTTAGGAGTTGTTAAATTCCATGAAACATTAATTCAAACGGAAAACTGTGTAGAAAATCTTTTAGCTTTATATCTTAAGGATGTAAAGAGTACATTAAATGTTCAACAGCCAACGTAAGTTTAAAAAAAATGATAAAAATATGTTTTTTAGTATTTAAATTATAAATTATATTTCAGAATTGATTCCGAATTAAATGAAGCTTGCCATTTAGACGAATTAGGAGATAGGCTTGCTCAAGATAATGAGCGTGGTTACTTAAGAATGGTAAACCGAAATCATTTATATAATTCAAGTAACTACAGTCTAAGTAGTTTATTCAGGTAATTATTTTTTCAAAATTATGATGTTTTTAAATTATTTAATAATGGTTAAATTGTTTTGTAGCGTCGGAAGCTTAGGCGGAAGTACTGTTGGGTCTACTAGTCGGCCTGGTAGTGTTAGAGCAAAGAAAACGAAAGCTTGGCTAATTCCTGATAGCTTAAACAAATTATATGAGTTATTAATAGCTCCATTTGAAGATTTCCTGTTTGCACCTTGTGGTTAATATTTCTCGCTGAATATTTTTTCATGAATATTAATTTAAATATTGATTCTATTATTTTTTTAGCTTCTCATAGTAAAGGCTGTTCTGGTCGCAAAGAGTTGTTATTAGTTCTCGAACAAGATTTATTATTAGTGCCATTTTCGATGTTACATCCAAAAATAGATAATGATTGTCTTTTATCAGGAGAGTATTTAAGCGAAAAATTCAGTTTACTTGTTACTCCATCATTAATGAAATTCAAGGAAAATCAAAGGTTGTTATTATACATATTTTATTATTATTTATTTTTTTATTCAAATTATTTCCTGACAATTTTTTTTATTTATAAAAATATTAGGATTCATACTGAAATTATTAGAAAAAAAACAATTGTATGTATATTTTAACTAAATCATTTAATTTTTAGAGCTCAAAAGAAAGCTGGAGTTAATGAATCATCAAATATGACTACACTAGTAGTTGGTAACCCATTACTTCCAAACTATCTCAATGAACAACTAAGTCTCAATGAACTACCACATACTGAACAAGAAGCTAGTATGGTAGCAGAAATGTTACAAACAAAACCTTTAATTAAAGCTCAAGTACGAAAATTAATTAAAAAGTATTTAATTTCATCATTTATTACTTACACTTAATTATTTATTTCAGGCAAATAAGCAAAACATTTTAGAACAACTTGTTAAAGCAGAATGCATTCATTTAGCTACCCATGTTAGTTGGGAATTATCTGCTATAATATTATCTCCAGATGAAAATGTAAGAATATAAACTTAATTTCTATAGTTAATATATATTTAATAAAATAAAATAATAATTTTTAACTTGTGTGATAAGTATTAATTCTTATGATCAACTTTGTTTTTGTAGGAAACAGCTCCAGAATCCGATATGAATATTTCTGAAGTGTTATTAACTACAGAAGATTTATTATCTCTTAAGTTAAGTGCAAGACTGGTAGTTTTAAGTTGGTCTCATGCACGAGATGATTGGGCAACTTCAAAAGGACTTTATGACCTGACCAATGGCTTACTCGTGGCTGGGGCCCAATGTATACTTGTTTCTTTATGGCCAGTACCAAGTACAGCTGCTAAGATTTTGTTAAGAGCATTTTATTCAGCTTTATTACAAGTAATTTGATCATTTGTTGTTTTCGCATATTAATATTAATTTTATACAATCTCTGCATAGGGATCTAGGGTATGCAGAGCTCTATGTGATGCAATGCAAACAGTTCAACACACAAAACATTTTTCTCATCCATCAAACTGGGCTGGATATTTTTTAATTGGCTCAGATGTGCGTTTATCTAGCAAAGTAGCTTTGATGGGACAGGCATTATGTGAATTATTAAAAACTCCAGACCGCTGTCGGGATGCCTTAAGAGTTACTCTTCATCTGGTACACTTCTATTATTTTATTATAATTTCTTTCAAATTACAACAACATTTATGATTAAAAGTTGTTAATTATTTAATTTTTTATTTTATTATATTAGGTTGAAAAATCATTACAACGCATTCATAGAGGACAGAAAAATGCTATGTATACCACTCAAAAGAGCATTGAAAATAAAGTACGTACTCACGTAGTTTACATTTAATTAGAACAACATTATATTTTTAGTAAACAATCACTCAATAAATTAACATGTTATTGGATATTGAACAGTATGATAGTGTTGGATGAGTTTTGTTTTTGATGTCGAGTTCAAAATTCAAGTACTCAAAAAATAACTAGTTCATTAAAAAAAAGTCGAGTACTCTTCAATTTGAATTTCCGAGTATTCGATAAAGGTAAGTAAGTACTTGACAAATGCCGAATACTCTGAAAAAAGTCAAATAGAGACTGAGACTGACCCGACTTCCCGGAACTGAACCGTCTCATGACTGATATGTGTGAATAGACCTTTAACCTTCCTGGTATTTCGTATCGGAAATATTTGGCTCCCAATTATTTATAGCTTAACATTTTTTTTTTCAATAAAATAGTGAAATAAACTCTAGTACTTGATTCAAGTCCATTGAGTACTCCATTTAAGTTGAGTACTTGTATTTATAAGTACAAATATATTTTTTGTCGAGTCGAATCGAGTACTTGAACTCGATCCAAAAAATTGTACAGTCAAGTACTCGTCCAACTATACAGTATAAGCAAATATATATATTTAATAGAATAACAAGAATTTATATTTACATTTTACTGTCAAAATCAACTAATATATTTAATTTAAATTTTTCTTGAAGGTGGGTGATGTTACTGGGTGGAAAGAACTTCTTCAATCAGTTGGATTTCGCTTTGAACCTGCTGCTAATGGTATTCCTTCTTCAGTATTCTTCCCCCAAAGTGATCCTGAAGATAGGCTTACTCAATGCAGCGCTAGTCTACAAGCATTACTTGGTATTTTTAAATTATTATTAACTAACAATAAAATACAATAATAAGAAGATCCTAAAAATTAAAAACAAATACTATTTTAATATATTTTCATATAACTAGGTCTTAATAGTACAACGTTAAGTGCAATTTCAAAATTAATTCTTACATCCGATGTCACGGATGATATTATTGTTGTAATACGGCATGTAGTTGAACAATTCAATAATAAACTTTTATCTGAAAACGAACAATCTGTTGAGATGCCAGTCAATATGAAACTATGGCATACTCCTGGATGTCATGAACTTTTAGCATCTCTTGGTATATATTTAATTTCATTGTAATAATTCTCATACTCTTATTTTTATAATAAATCTTATTCCATTGCCAGGTTTTGATTTAATTGAAGTTGGCATAAATGAAGTTACACTTCGCACTGGAAAACAAGCCAATAAACGTAGCATACAATTTGTTCTTCAAGCCCTATTAGCCTTATTTGGTAAATTTTTATTTTAGTTTTTAAACTAATTTTATTCTCATACATATATAATCAATAAATCTACAACTCTCATTTTAAAATGTATAGACATACAAGAAGCACCTAAAAGTCTTTCCTTATGTTCATCGAGTTCACTTGAAAGTGTAATAACCGTTGAAGATGATAGACAAAACGATTCACCTTTAAAACCAACTTCGACCAATGCATTACGTGTATCTGGAAGCAATGGCTCTGGAGCATTTACCAGTTATGTTAGGAAAAGAGGAGAACCTGATGGAAGAACAGCTTCAGATGCTTCCACACAAATCACTAAGGTAAGCTTAAATTTAATTTAAGCCAAACTAGATTTGTACAGTTTTTTTAAATTTTTATTAGAATTCAACGGGTATATTGATTATGCCAACAATACTGAGCCGTAGATCTGGTGGTACTAATGGTGGTGGAGAGAGTGATGCTGCCTTCACACCTTCACCACCAATCCCTGGATTGGGAGACGCACTAAGTAAAACTTTAGCACATCAGACTAAGATTAGAAATCTATACTCTACTCCTGTTAGACCAGATTCATCAAGTTCTGCAAGTTCTGCCACAGATTGGGAAGGTGAGGAACTCATAACTTTTAAAAAATTAGTATTTAATAATAATAAAACAGTAAACATAACAAATAAATAGTTTTAAATGGTCCATGTACATTTTAAACTTAAATCGATGATTTCTGATAAAACTGAACTCTATATATAAATTAAATTATGACAGATATTGATTGAGCACAAATGATTATATAATATATTATTTCATTCAATTAAAACGGCATATTCAAAATAGATATAGATCAGTAGTTCCCATTACTTAATCGGCGGGGCCCCTTTGATGGACCAAATACTGCTATGTTACCCTTCTGTGAATACTAATAGGAACATAAAGATCCGTGGCGCGGTACAATACACGCGCCGTAGGATTGGTGTTACGCGGCGCGGTGCATTCTTTACTGATGATTGTCGATAACAATGGCACATGCCAAAGATAATGTGGCGTGGCTTGTAATACGATCTATGTCAGTCCCACGACCCGTGTATTAAATGCTCCAATTTAGTGTTTTTATTTTATTATATTATTTTAATATTCCCCAAAAAAAATTTCATAAAGTAAAAATATTATATAATATCCACGTATTATTATATTTTATACGCGCTACGTAATGACCATATTGAACATTTTCTCCTTTATAAAATACATACAAGCATGCAATTTGTATTTTAGATTGTTAATTTTAATTATTGTTCGGTCGTCGATTAAAACAGATAGCTTGCGTAAAGGCCGGTTTACACTTATTAAAGTAGTCACGTCCGTGAACCACGAATTAGTGGCACGGATTTATACGAAAGCCATGAAGTTCGGTGGAATACAAGTATATCTGAATATAAAAACTAACACACTAGACAAATACCACTTAAAAATATATGCAATGAAATGGCCATAGAGAATTTTGACGTAAATGAAGCAAAGACAAAAATTAATAATATACGTTCTGTTTATTACCAAGAGAAAAATTTCTATAAATTGGGTTTCTAATTTTTTTAGTAAAATATTAAAATGACCATCGCTAATCTTCATATAGTTCATGAAACCTGGTCTATCTTCCACTCGGAGCTCCTTTAACAACGTTTTTGATCCACCTGAAATATTTCGCCTAGCAACCCAATCTCGCACCCATATTTTTCATTTTTTTTTTTACGATTAGATATAATTTGGTTTGCACACTCTTGAGCTAAAACTCCACAGACTGATAACTCTGCGTCTGCCAGTTCTGGTTCCATTTTGGCTACTGACAAATTTACTTGGACAGATAAAAAAATAATAGTGTAGACAATGTCGTCAGTTCTCGAATCAAAGTTACACTAATGTAGGTTTGTTCCAACACGCGGTCAAACTATCATAGAACTGGTGGGAGCATGCACAATATGTTTTTTGCGTTCCAACACACCCTAAACGCAAACTCAAACTATCAGACACTTGTTCCAACACTATCAAAACAGTCCACTGATTCCGACGGAGACTAATAGTCAGAGAATAGGATGGGCAAAAAACATCGATGTTAATGTTCGATACATATATGTTGCTTCAATGTTTTTATCAATGTTTTTTTTTTTTAATTATGTTATTAATTTGTCAGTTCACAGTTTTCAGTTTTTCACGAGGTTTTCTGTGTTGAGTGTTCCGTCGAACGACTCGACCATCGAGTTTCGCAATGGGCATTAAAATTTAAAATACGTAATACGTGATAAAATATGTGTAAAATATGTTGTAACTCGTAAGTGTGACCAACGTCCTTAACAGTGTGTTCATTTTAATTCGTTCAGTCGCGACCACAATTAAAGATATCTTTAATCGTGGTTCACAGTTTCACTTTCAAGTTTTACTATCATATTATAATTATAATTGTTTTAACTGTATTTTAAGATTTAAAACTAAAGTATTTTATGTTATATTAATTTGTGTAAATATTTTATACAACGAAGGTAATGCCCGAGTAAAAAAAATTCAGTTTCATCAATTTTATAGCAGTTTATTATAGTAATATGTATTGAAAAATTAAGTTTGACAATAGTATTTTAACTTTTTAATTCATTATTTAATCAGGAAATTAAAAAAAAACATCGAAAAAACATCGATGTTTTTTTAAAAATTCGATATATCGACACTATCGATATTTATAATTTCGATATATCGAAACATCGAAACATTGATGTTCAAAATATTTTGCCCATCCCTATCAGAGAAACTATTATCACATTTATTGCTCATGTTATCAATTTTTCGCGTTTGAATTTTCATATAACGTTTATCAACAATTTTTTGGTTTCACGACATAAACTATAGTATATATATAGTATAAAATAAATATACTATAATAATATAAATATGTTATAAATATAATATAAATACAAATACATATTATTAACGTCTAAACTGTGTATCTAAAACACTTAAAATGGAAGATATGTACATATTATGATTTTTTTTTTATTTTAATCGCAATTTAATTTTACTGATTTATTATCTATCTCATATCATAAAATCCGAAAAGCGTTCCAACAGAGCTCAGAGTCCGTGATCAATCCACATGAACGCATGCGCAGTAAATCAATCACGAATTAGTCGGTAACTAATCCCAAATTCCGTATTGGAACAAACTTACTGATTCGTAGAGATGGCAACGATATATCGATAACTCTTTGTGATATATCGATATTTTTATATCGTTCGATTGCTCGGGTAAAATATCGATAATCGATATATTTTCATGATATCGATGTATTGCAATTCATAATTTTCATTATTCGTATATGAAAATGAAAAATATTTTTTTCAAAATGTACGTCATAATGCCATATTACAAACTTTAATAATATGGTTTTCATAATAATGATAATACATTTTTAAACACGAATTAATACAGATATAAAATTATTAATTTTATTATATTCCTTATATTTTTGCTTTCCAGTTTGATCTTAATTTGAGTTATTATTAATTTTATACATACGGATATACAATATAGTATATATGATAAATCTACGCCATGTTCTCTTTTAAATGAAAAAAACGTGTACATTATTTTAATATTTGTGCGTCATACACATATACGCCGCGTAATAACATCATTAATTTTATTATTTCCGAGAAAATAAAACCGAATGCATGGAATTACCTATTTGTTTATTTACATCGCACTGAAATACTCAAAAACCGTGGAAAAATCAAATTACTCCACGCCGCTACCACTGTTACTAGCTAAACGATGTATAAGCCTATCATACATATAGATGTTTAAATCTATTTTCGAATGCTACCTATGCATTGAATAAATATTTCATGTAATTCGGCTCAAACCCGTATATGTATAAATATAAATAAAAAATTCTTACTCCATGACCCATATAGTAATATTACTCGGTAATCGATACTCCTATATTATTCAAACATATTAAACAAATGAAATAGACTATAAATAGACTATTAAATATAATACACCTATAGTTTATAGTATACTGTACAGTATTAGTAGTATTATTATTTAATACTATTTACTACTACAATGGTACAGCTGTACAAGTACAGTACTACTACAGTAGTTGAGACAATTGAGTTTTAGAACATTAGCAAGTGGGTTTTTAATTTTTTTTTTTGAACTTTTCTATCATTTTAATTTCATTTCGATTTTCGATATATCGACATTTTTAGTTGATATATCGATGTATCGATGATATGCTGATATCGATATTACGTTATCGATAACGTAATCTTACAATATCAATATTTCGATACATCGAAGTAACGACGATTTCTGTCATCTACTGATTCGTGGTTCACGGACGTGACTACTTTGATAAGTGTAAACCGGCATAATTATTTTTTTTGTTATATCATAATATCACAGTTACAGAATTAATAGTCGTCGTTTATTATTAACGAACGTAGTGAGGGTCACCGCCAGTGTTTATTATTACTAAATATATTTTCATGAAAATAGACAAAACCCCAGATTTTATGTTTATATTATACCTATGTATAAAGTTTTCGAGAATTGCGCGGCGGCAAAGTCGTTATTCCCAAGCAATCCTTGAGCGATAATAATATTGTCGTCTCTAATTTATTATGGAGACATGCGCCAGTGTGGACTGATGCCACAAGTTTGATGTTATTTACATCTATAAATAGCAAAATTCCGAAATTTCAAAATTTAATTACCATCATGTATTATGTAAAGCCTATATTATATACAATATATCTATAGATACATGTGTTACGTCAATTTCGGTCACGGCACATTTAAATGATAATATTACATCATTTTTTAATTCTGGCACGAGTCGTGATGCCCAAGAATTGAGTTTGCGGTGCACAAATTGGAAACCGCTGACATAGATCAATTTATTATAAAACTTACTAATTATACTATAATATACACGTTCTAATCCAATTTTTAATAATTATTATGCTCGAGCGCATTTTTTTAAAATTACAACAATTATTTTATTAAAAAATATCAAATAATCATATATTTTCAGAAAAAAAAATTGACTTGTTATATGAAAAAAAAATGTATCAAATTAGTACCAAAAATAATTATTACCAGTTTCAGGGTAATATTAATTCAGTATATTATTTGAAAAATATTTTTTGTTTATTAACTATATCATCCTATTTCACATAAATAAAATTGACATTGCATGTCATATAATATGTATTAAGACTTAAATTTTTTTTTTTTTTTTTTATTAGGAAATGGGCATTCCACTATCCTTCGTCGTGGAACTCATTCACTACCTCCTATACCTCCGATTAAAAAACTTCATAAAACAAATGATATTTTAGACAACATTGTTGTCGAAAATGAAGTAAATCAGTCGGAGAATACCGAAAAAATGTCAATATATCTTGCGCAAGTATTGGATATATCTGAAAAAGAACAAACTCAACCGCAGTCTAACATTGATGTGAACAGTGGAATTCAAAATCACATCAGAACTTCACAATTACGACAATTAAACTACGAACCAAAACCTACGATATCCGAAGTGTATCATGAACGTAAAATTGGGTTAGGATTAGCACCATCCTTGTTAAAACTGTTGTCGCTTGATAAGCATTCAAACAAAGATAATAAAACCAGTTGGTTGTCACCATCTATGTTAAAAAGATTTGGTGGAGATACCTCACAAGAGACAGCTTATGGCGAGTTAAATAAAAGAGACGAAGGGGATGGACGATCAGTTGCCGAATCCCAATCAAGTACTGGGAGTTATAAAAAACGAACTGATACAAACACATTACGAAATTTTGAAAGTCTAATTGAAGAAGAAAACAATGTGAAAGAACCAAAAATAAGGTTGAAGAAAAAATCGTCTTATGTACCTCCACCACCACCGAGTACTTCTGCTAAACTAATACCTGACTCGTAAATAAAAATATTTTTATAGATTAAATGTTTAATGGTTTATTTTTTTTTTACTGAAAATTACTATTTGTGTATTATATAGTCTTAATATTATGAGTTATTTTGTATGTTATAAAAAAATTTTTTTTTCTGAGTTCTTACTTATTATTAAATTTGTTTTGCCTTGAGCTCATAAACGTAACATATTGTTGTTGTTTAATTCAATATTAATTTATAGAATTAGGTATTAATAATTGTTGAGTTGTATACAAAAAAAGGATCCACGGATTACTCTGTATTCTATATCAATATTATTATATTGTATTCATTTTTTTATTTTTGTTACATTGAGTTTTACAGTTTTACAGATTTAAGTGCTTCAAACGTTGAACATATATGATGTATTGGTGAAAATATTTGGATATACATACTTATAAAAACCAAACATTAATTTTTTTCGATGATTAATCCAAAGTAATAAAATTAGTTATAACTATTCTAAAAATACGAATTGATAAAGTAACCAAACGTTTGACGATATAAATATCATTCTGCCTTACGAGATTTCGAGCACAATTATAGGATACACGAGTATATTATTACATTGGCCATTGTCATAAACGTAAATAACACGTTCTATACAGATCCAACTTGCATTATAATAAAGTACCTTTATAATTTTAAAGTTTTACGTCATGTAAGAGGTTTATAAAAGACGTACACAATACAGCAAAAGAAAACACTGAAAAATAATGCGTGTGTCCATAGGCGCAAATAGGGGGGGGGGCTTTAGGAGCTAAGCCCCCCCAAACACTTCAATAGCCCTCCCAAACATTTTCTGATTTTTTTAAGCCTTTTTAGTATTATTATAGTTTATGATGCAAAATTCAGTACCTAGGGCTTCAGCCCCCCCAAATCTCAAACGCAATTTGCGCCTATGCGTGTGTCACATTCAGATGGCGCACCCTGAGAGGTCACACTACATATTATGTTATTTTCTTATTAGAATAATATTATGATAAGCAGCTAAAAATTACAATTGTTTTAACAGCTGATTCGGCACAACCGTTTGATTCTGGGTGGAATGGTGTACCAGTCATATGTCTTCTACAAAGAGTAGTGCAATACGATTGAAATTTTAAATCAGTAAAACATATCGCACAGTAAGACGTAATTGTTTTTGGAATACCGAATTGTGCCATTGTCTCCAAAAACTTTTCTATCACAATTTCTGTGATCTAGACAGTAGTGCCGAATCGCCAAAATAAAGGTGTGACAACATTTCATTATGACACTCACCCACCAATGGGTACATTTAAGAGAATGTTAAAGACCCTTCTCCCTTAAAAAAAAAAAAAATTGCTAGCACCCTAATAATTCAGAAAGACGTCAATCAAAGCTGTTATAGGCCTGACAGGTTAAAAATTGCAATCTCCCAACTTTGCAACTCAAATTGCTCATAACTGTTGAATTTAAATTAATTTTAAATTGCAGTTATGTTATATTTTACTTATTTAATTAATAGTTACATATAAATTTATTTATTAATTTTAAATTAAGGTACGGACAAATTAGTTGTTTATTCAATTTATGATTAAATATTATTTAGGTACGTACCTACTAATTTACTATTTTATAATTTAACTTTCACAAAAGATACAGTGAATATTATTACTGAATCAAATTAATTCGTTACATGACTTCTAAGAAACAAAGTTTCATTTCTTGAAGCAAATGCAGCAATTTAACACACAAACATTTAGGTATAGGATTAGAATAGTAGATTCAACTCAACGCTAACAAATAAATTAAGTATTATAAATATTATTACATTTTTTAGTAGTAGTAATAGGAGTAAAATAAAATAATATTTTGATAAAATTTAACATATAAATGTATAATAAAAAAAATCTTGCATGGCCGTTTATTTATGTAAACTTATAGATTATCCGCTTATTGTATTATTCAGACTTGGGTAGTGTTCCGAATACAATATTTAGAATACTATATTTCGAATATAATCAAATCATATATTTTTTAAATGATTTTATTACTTCTCCGTCGTATCTTGTATAAGCTAATATCAGGTATTTATTATTACTGTATACCATAAACTATAACAGTTTTGCAATATAAAAATACAATAAAATAACATATATTTAGTCTACAATTTCAAATATTTCTGTTAAGTGGACATCTATTATTTTTATAGTATGAAAACTAAAAGTATTTTAAAAGTATTCAAAATATTTTTGAAGTATTCGGAATACAATTTGTATAAAGTATTTGAATACATATTCGGAATACTATTTTTTGTAAGTATTCGAGTATTTATTCTAAATATTTTTAAAAAGTATTTTACCCAAGTCTGGTATTATTATTAAAATACAAATGTAATGTATACGAGATATATTATTTTGAAGCGCGCACACGTATCACGAGTGAGGGTGACGCACAAGTGGTAGAAATATTATAATACTAATAATAATGATAATAATAATACGAAATATATATCGATCACAGTGTATATTGATTGTTAATAATTAACAAATAATTAACAGATGAATAAAAAAATGAAAAAAAACAAGTGTTTACATCACGGCTGTATATTAAATATTATCTATAGCCGTGGTTTACATAAATCAAGAATTGACGTGGTGTTCACGGTGTCGGAAAAATAGCATCGCAGCATGGTTCAAATTGTGGTACCTAGCGGAGATCGTCACAATCGCTCGCGTCCCCTATCCGGCGATTGAGAGGGGGTCGAGGTATCGAGACGATGTTGCGTACTGCGGTTTGGTGGTTGATGAGATAGATTAAGGCAAGGTCGGCGACTAACCTTTTGGAAAAGTTTGCCGCACTTGTCCGCGTGTGACCGCTGCCACACCTTTATACCGTGTTCGGCGCCACTGTACAATACTTATTATAATATTACAATATTACGTGAAATTTATTTTCTGATTTATTTGAACAAGTGGAAAAAATTTCGGAGAAATAATATTTAGGTATAACGATAAGTAAAAATGGTAGATAATGGTACACCATGGGTTAAATTTAATTGACGCTGTGTCTAATTATAGATGATCCCCGAGTGGTTATTACCCATAGCTCTAAAATTAAAGTGATAGTGATATCAACTATTATTTAGAATAACTATAAACAGAATATATGAATTCATAAACATCAATCAGGTTAACTTGAAAATTGTGAACACTGAAGTACTAAACACGAAATATGGGTACGTTCACATTTTTTTTTTCAGAATAATATCACATAATAGTAAAACCATAGAACATAAAACAAAATAAAATCTAGAAATAAATCTTGATTAATATTAATTTTGATCGTGTTAAAATCATGATAAACTAAAGATAATATTTATAATATAATAATTTGTCATGGTCAAAATATTATGTGCTATACAAAAATACATGCCAGTTCAAAGGTTTTCTCATTACATAAAAATAAGCTGAAGAGGATCGTGATGGACAAAAGACTATTTTTATTTCTATACATTTTCTGTTCAGCTGGAAGATATGAAAACCATTATATTATCTAATAAGATCTATTTACTTCACCACATAATAATTATGTTATGTACCTATAGTTTATAGATGGACGATAGTCAATAATATTAAACGCAAATGCGATTATAATTATCTACACAAACGCCTATAGTTTAGTTTGTAAATTTACGACTATAATCTAAAACCCGGGGAATTCAGATAGAGTAGGTAATAATAGATTGTTGAGGTACGTTATACGTCTTGTACGCGCGTACGGGTATCAGATCAACCAAGTGCTAATACATAATATGGGTATCAAAATATCATTTTTAGTGATTATTGCCCAAATCTCAAGGGATCAAAGCAGAATGCCAAGGGGTACCACCACCCAATTGGTTATGAGGCCACGGCCTCATGAAACACCGTATCGCACCACCACTGTATATATATATGTATATATATATATTACTAAACTGATATGTATACATAGTGTGCTTTCGACATGTTTCTACATTGAAAATCATTTAATATAATTATTTATATTAGATATTTTAACTATTTGTAGGACCTACTAGTAGTGATAAGAGAAATAATTCATATCGATTGTGAAATCAAAGTGTATGAATCATTTAAACTAGTGAACTTGATGAACTATGTGAACAGTGCTCGACTTGACAAAATTAAAGAAAGGGGATTCTGTTACTTTAAAAAAAAAAAAGTCCCTAAAACTTGTTAAGCGTTATAATTATAACGTAATATTAGTAGGGGGACGCTAAAATTTCTAAAAATTACTTGGGGTATTTCGTCCCCCCTCAAGTCGAGCAATGTATATGAACTAATCAACTTTTCCTTAAATTGAACTAAACTTTCCTTCTCTACTAGTTGGAGCATAAGGGTGTGCAGACATTTCTGGCAGGGTAGTCATACATAACACATTAACATTATATATATATATATATATATTATAGTGCTGTTCTTATAGTAGACGTGCGAATTTTTAATATTTTATACGATAGTAATATTACATTCACTTAATATTTGTACTAATTGTACTGTGTATCAGTTATAATAAAGCATTTTATTTCTACTTACTTGTTTTGTATGTCTATTTTATTTATTATTTTTTTAAGGGAGATTTTGTGAAGAGGTGAGTGGTAGTGCTCTTGATACTCGGATACCCGGATTTTACGGGTATTACCCGATTAACAAAAATTCGGGTACCTGATATGGATTGGGTACCGTTATGGTTTGTATATTCATTGCTAGAGCTGGGATTTATATGTAAATACATATTTTTTCTAAAACATAATAAATTTCGCTATCTTTTTCTTTCGTTCCGCATATCTATTACGCATATTTATACTACGAAGTTCGTCGCCATCTAAGGCATCGGTGTATAGTTAACAAAGATATTCCAACGTTGAAAATAGAACATCAAGAACAGAGAGAATAGTTTACATTTTATTTTTCAGAAAATGCCTTAGAAAATCCATAAAATCCTTAAAGTCTTGAAAGTGTAGATTTATTTTGATTGTGTTTGATTTTTTAGTTAGAATTTTATAGTTTTTTTTCTTTCAATAAATATTTTTGCTTAATTTCAAATTTTTTAAATGTTTATTTTAGTGCTTATAATGATGTTTTTAAGCGCTTTTTTAAGTGCTTATATTTATGATTTTAAGTGCTATAAGTCCCGAGCCTTGATAATGAGCTTCTATTTCTTGTATAAGAATTTGTTTTGTTTCGTCCATCGGAGAAAAAACTAATTTTAATGCAATTTTAAATATAAATTTAAAAAAATTAAAATTTTTAAGGTCGTCATGTTTCACGTAGGTACTGATATAGGAACAGTAGTGTCGTCATCAGTTGCGAATCCTGAGTTCAACCTCCACCACCTGTAACGTCTCGTAAAAAAGTTGATAATATTTATTAGCATCTATTCTGGAATATTCTGTGGAGTATTATATGTAATGCTATATGCCTTGTTTACATGTAACAAGCACTCATCCGAAAGAGTGAACTCGGCCGAACACTGTCCTGTGTTGACTCAAGGAACGAGTGTTCGGACGAATAAATAGAAACAGTTTCTATTCGCTGGGCCGAGTGACTGCCCCACTACTAAAGCCGGGTGCACACAAAAAGAGCAAAACTAATATTTTTGTTTCAAACAGCTCGGAGAACTAATTCCATTCACACTGACAAAACAAAACGGAACAGGACAACATTTTTTTTATATCAGTCGTCAAGATGAGTTCTGATAAAAATGATGTTTTTATACTACTTTTGTGGCAATTTTTATTTAATAGTAAAATAAATGAAAATAAATATAAACGTACAATTTTGGTACATGAAATAAATAAAAAACGTACTGAAAATAATACAATTTTAAATTTTTTAAAAAAAATTAACCTGATTTAATTTTAATTACAGAAACAGAAATATAGTAATACATTAGATACCTACTCATCACGTAAAAAATTAAAATTATTTTATTTTTATATTTTTATTAACTTACCTGATGTTCCCATTTCTAAGCTTATTTCATTCCATAATCTGTCTTGGATAATTTTATTGTTATGATCATTATCGGTATAATCGTTAATAGATTTTCTTAAAAATACAAGATTTTGATCAATTTTTCTGGATCGCATCTCATTTTGAAATAAAATATTTGAAGTACCTACTGAATATGTTACAAAATAAAAAAATCTGTGTTGGACACCAAAGGAACGATTGTTCAGTTATATACTTTTCGCAAAATAAACCGGTGACTTTTGTTTTTCGTATTTTGCTCGGAGCGAAATTAGAACCTGATCGATCATGTTTTGTTTTGTCTTGTCGTGTATTAATGTTGACTGATAAGTGTGAATTACTCTACACGTGTTCTAATTATGTCCAAAGAGCTCCGAGTAGTTTTGCTCTTTTGGTGTACGCTTGGCATTAAGACTTACTGTACCCAATATGTCTAAACCAAGCACGTATCCAGGATCAATTTTCATGGGGGAGGGGGTTAAAATATTTTTAATACATGAACTAAAAATACATCATTTTACTATAATTTGATAGATAATATTATACACTACAAATTATAATATAATAATTTATACAAAATATAAATAATCTAAAAAAATGGATGAATATCTACAATTTTAATTCATAAGACAATGTCAACTTTACGTGACATTCTAGAAAATGTATTATTTCTTCAATGTTTATTTGGATACCTCAGTGGACTGACAATAAAGCTAAACCTGTTAGACGATCTTCACTGCAGCTATTCCTCAAATAGGTTTTTAATCGTCTTAAAGTTGAAAAAGAACGCTCTGCAGACGAAGTCGGCACTGGGAGTGTTGCAAGTATGGATATCAAACACCAAATGTTTGGGTAAAAGGCCTTCGACATGACGCCTAAAGTATTGATTGCAGATTTAGGAAATTTATTATCGGGTATCGATTTCCATTTTTCCACCCACATCTTCAATTCTGATTCAAAAGTTTCATAAGTCGGTAAAAAGCTTTTGTAAAAATCAATGCATTTTTTAAATTCATTGCTCCTTGGAATCAAATTTTGTAAATAAGAAATAATGTAATTGTGTTTTATCTTTCTATTAATTGACTTTTGAAGTAGTTTATAAATGGCAAAAAAATTGATATATAGTACTGTTTTGGTGAATCTGCCGAAATATTGTTACGATAGGTAGATTGCCTAATTAGTCGTGGCGTTTTAACCGTTTCGTCTTCAAAGGTTAATACATTTTCGACATTAAAAAATAATTTGTGGAATTCTTCCTCACTATTTCATGAATTGAATTAATAACTTGCACACAGTTATTGACATATTCACAATACTCGGATAAATCAACGTTTATTTGTTGTAAAGATTTACACAAAGGCAGTGTTATGGAAAATAATTTTTCTGTAATTTACAATGAAATTACAAACGAACTTGATGTAGTAGTTTTTGAAAGTTGAAATGCAAGTTTTGATGTTTCTAAATTATGATACTGTTCGAGTTCTCTTAATGTGTTAGTTATTGGTAAATATAGCTCTTTAAACGGTAACAAACTATCGTGGCGTTCAACCCAACGAATTTCACACATCTTGGTACATTTTAATTCCTTTATATTGTTGGTAAATAAATAATATATTATTGGTACATTTTAAATCAGCATAATTTTTCTGGGTTTCATGCAATATTTATTCAATATAGTTATGGTGTTTAGCTGATTTAATATTTTTCAATATGCAACAAAGATAAATTGATAAACCTTTCCTGAAACATGCTTGATCTTAGCCAGTTTTTTATCCGCCACATTTTCGAAAAACTTTGCTCGTAAGTAGCAGAGCTTACCAGAATTGTGATTATAATTTGCAAAAATTTGTATAAATTTGGAAACGAATCGTTTTTCATAAATTCTAGTGTAAAATTTAGTGGTAGGCAATTATTACCAATCAGCAGTTAAGCTTTTAATACATTAATCTTTACACTTAAAATACCCTAAAAATTATAAATTATTGTTTAGTAATGATTAAAATTTACTTTTGAATTTATAATGATTGATTAACTCTAGACTTCCATCATAGTTTAACCTTATATATTTATCAACTGAACAAGCCATTGATAAATTTCTCTCAGAATTTGTATTTAAGATTTACAATCACAGAATCAATTATTGGAAAATATACAGTATATAACAGTATCCGTGATGTATACCATATCGTTAATCGTCCGACAAGGAATATCCGAATATGGAATGAATTATATTATATGACTTAACGACTAAATAGTTATACATTTTTTCAAGACATTTTCCATAATTTAAAAACATAAGATTCATGGTATTTCACTAAAATAATAATTGTTGGGTATAAAAAAACAAGGGAGTGCTAAAGACTTTTTTGCACCCTCCTAGTAGCGCCACTGAATACCTTTACATACCAATATCGTCTTTCGCTGTAGTCAACGTATGGTGTAATGTGTTAACAATAAACATGGCTATTAAAATATATTAATAACAATGCAAATGATTTATAAATATACATATCTCTTGGTTTTCCTGAATATTCCAAAATAGTATATCGACGGTCGATGATGTATCGCAATAAAATATTGGAAGACTCGATAATATTAGTAAGATAGAGTTACCATATTTTATTCGGCAAAAAACGGGACAAGTTTTTATTTTTCCTATTTATATACATTTTTATTATTTTTTTTTTTACTATATAGGTACAATTATTACAAAATGTAGTTATTCATTATTTATTCTCACGGAATAAATATATCCCCTACTTGGGATAGAAAGTCTGAAATAAATATTGACTACAGTACGACTCTATTCTACAATACTATACTATAGTGATTAATTAGTTACAACCTTTGATTTTAAAATATATTCTAAAATCAATAATACAACTGACAAAATATTAAATAATGGTAGATTAACGATAATATATATATAATGAGGGAACGGAAATACGAAGAACGTATTTGACAAAAATAATCGTCACAGTCGAGAAAATAATTAAAAATAGGTTTCGTCAGTCAATTATTTAACTTATTATTTTATCATGACAATAATATTATAGTTTTTCAACCTAGAGCTTAATAAAATAAAAACATAAATTATTGAAGTGTTATTCCGGGATAATTGACCGTCCCGAAACATCTTCGGAACATCATATTCAAAATCAGTACTGTTGTGACCAACACGGGACGTATGGAAACCCTACAGTAAGCAGTTTTGTGCTTTAGATAAATTTATCTAAATATGTTATTTAGATAAAAACTTCATATCGTTATCTTATTTAGATAAAAAATAAAATTGACATCTAATTTTCATTTAGATAAAAATCATAGCCTTCTAGATAAATTTATCTAGATAATTCACAAAACCTGTAGCTAATCATTAGTAATAACTAATCTACAATTTTATCATTCAATATAAAATAAATAACTAAATAAAAAATTTCATTTATATATTTACTTGCAAAAATCGGTTCTAAAATAGTTTTACATAGCATTTATTATTAATTATGAATAATGACAATTTATTATGTGTATAGACATACATTACCTACATAATATGCATGATAGTGAGAATTATTTATAATTTCATAGTATGGCCTATACGGGGAAGTCTCATGCCCGTATTACTATTGTTCTGTGGTATTACGAATGCCGAAAGATCATTTACTAGATTATTGGAACCAGAGATAACGCACCATAGGTCTAAACTGGTTATTATTGCAGCTGCGCGGTAGATGGTTTATAAATACTAAAATACAGAAATAATTGTCGATAAGAAAATAGCAATATTACAATACGCATTAAGCTGTACTTACACAGAAATTGATCGTTTCTCCATCATCATTCATTCAATATTTATATATAAATTATGTCCATTATTCATGTAATCATGTGCTCTAAATAATTGTCATTACCGGAACCCAATTCCATGAATTCGTACTTTGATATGTCTACATAATAATTATTGTACAACAAAATAAATATTAGGCGTGAAACGTACGTTATTTATTAAAAACTTGTACTGTACGCAGCGCACTCTCATTCACAACATGTGCAGTGTTTATCGTCAGACCGTCTTCATATTTTTCATGATTTTGTCTACGACTTTCAATTTTATTTTATTGGTGAAATATTTTATATTTTGAAATGGATCATCACATAATACAATCATTACCTAAGACCAAAATAATTCGCCTACAAACGGATGAAAACGTAGATGCCTTATATACATATCTAGATAAAAGTGATTTTATCAATCTATATCTAAATAATTTTTTTTTTATCCAAGCACAACACTGACAGTAAGGTTATATCAATATAAAATTGAACGTTATTTCAATGGACATAAACAATTTCTGCTATGCGATGCAATGAATGCGATACAAAATCGGTCGTCATTCGGATTTAAATTGGACACAGTAATAGATGGTAAAAATACAGAGTACAATAATTCATGGTAGAACCTTAGATTTAAGAATTAGGAAATTTGGGCACATAAATCAATATAATAATTTATAACCTGTATTGCCATTTAACTAGTCCAGCCATTTATCTATAATGTAATGTAATATTTTCAGTCGTAAATTATTAACGAGGAAACCAAATTTTGTGGCAATAAACTGAATAATTATTGCACTAACCAAAAAGAAATCGAAAGGTCTATTAACGGTAATAATACATCAACGAACGCAATATAAGTCACGAGAACATCGTTCACTTGATTGAAAAGCGATCGCAAAAATAACGTTCAATGTTATGGAGGAAGACACCACGGAAATTTTTAAGTACCAAGTATTAATAAGTAGCATTATGAAAGAATTACTTCATAAGTCAGCGGTTTCTCAAAAGGTTTTTCCCTAGTAATCTAGTGATTTTACGGATACATTTGAATTGAATTAAATATCTTATATTGTAACGTTTATATAGATTTTATAATAAAAGCAGACTTACACATTCATTGTCGTCCATCAAACCAAATAATGAGGTACTGGTAAATGAAATAAATAATATTGCTGTTCACATAAAACACAAATTAATAAATAATACATGTTTATACTTACGTTTTTTTTTTTTAATGAAATTAAATATTTTGTACGGCATACGAATCACCAAAATGAAATCATTGATGAATGTATTGTTTAAGAGTTGTGGTATAAAATAATTGGTATTCCTGGTTTTAGGGGCACCTTGGACATTTTTTTTTTTAGAAACATTGTAACATTATCCGTTTAATAAAAGTGCGAAAAAAATGAATACACAATGGTAAGAATATAATAAAATACATTTTTTTTAAACGTTCAACGGCAAATATTATCTGATTAGATTTTAGTATTGATCGAATTTGGGTATACAAACGCAATACCCGATCGATAAAACAATTCTGTTTTAGTAAACATGAACAAAATAACTCGATGCGGTCGCTTGAAAGTGTTTGAGAACATCGGCAACACTGATAATGTACGCATAAAGACCAGCAATAAAAGGGTGGGGTGCTGCGGCCCATGGCTAAGTTGATGGGTTTACTCAGTTACCAACTGCGGACTCGATGCACGTTTTTTCCTTTACTTAATAACATTGGTGTGATCTATAGTAAAACCGACGATACCTTGCAAATTAAATTGACGCGTCCCATGAATTTATCAAACCTATTCGAAACCAAACTGTTGTAATGTGTGATCAACACCGCTGTACGTTATAAAAATAATAAAACCCAACGGTGGGGTCAAAAGAACAGAGAACGGTGTTGCGTGTACGCTGTTGAAATCGTGTGTTCGTAATTACGCATCAGTGAACATATCACGGAGAGCAACGAGTTATCATCTTCATCGTTGCGCAACGAATTAATGTAATAAAACACATTGTTACAGCCACGTCGACTGACGAACGAAAACACCGCGGTTAGTGAACAGAGTACGTATTATGTTTGTTGAATGAACGAAATTCACTTTCGCGAAAACGATATCGTCCATACTTTTCAGGACGCATGTATAGTACGGCGATATCAATCGTAAGTGTCCGCGTAGTTATCGGGTTCGACCTGGGTGCGTTGTAATATCATCGCAGCACATGTCGGAAGCGACAAACGCGTAGGTGGTTTCCATTGATCAAAAAAAGGTACGGTCGATTCGTCAACGGTACTGCCGTCGTCGGTTAGGTTGACACGCTAGATGTGCGAGGGTTGAGAAATATCGAGTCCGTAGTGTGGTGGTTGTGGATCGCTAAGCGAAAAACATTGGGTAGTCACATATGGTATGACCATTCGGGGATATTAGTTTAGGTGGATGGAATGATGAAGAGGGAGGAAGGTGGAGCAAGATAAATGAGAATATGTCGTGTTGCTGCTTACGGACGCGCACGATCGCGGAGAATGCGAGCTCGATGCGATAAGAAAAATAAAAAAAAAAATAAAACTCAACTGTAGAAAGAAATAATCAGTTGTATTTATTTCGTACGATGACAAAAATGTGTTTACAGAGAACCGTCGGAGGTGTTGCGCGGTACAAAACTGTCAACTCGTACGAATCTTGATCGCCTGTCAAGGATCTGACTCGGCACTGGGCAAGTGGCAACGGTGATGGCAGAAAACAACCGGAATAGCGAACCGACACGGCCGAACCGAATGCGCTGACTAAACACTAAATATACACGCCCGAACGGAGAAAGATACGACGACGAAAAACCGATAAACAACTGTGGCGGGGTAGGGTAAAGAACGACATCGAGTTCCGTGCGCGCGCCGACGTCCGCTCCACCCATTCTGTCGCAGTAATTGCACGCGCTCGCCATCCGTCTCCGTGCAGGGCTACCGCGCGCACGCGCAGGCGCCTACTCACACGCTATCGTTACATCCGTAGACTGCGCACGTTCAACTCGTCGCGTCCGCAGTCTCGTTTCTGTTGTTCGCCTTCTTTGCTCGCCCTCACATTACGCACGGCGACGCCTTCTCGATACACTCGCAACCGTGTTGTACGCTGCGCTTTTTGCGTCTGTTCGATCCCTGGGCTGACGCTCGTGCCACCGGTGCCGTCTTAGTAGTTGCTCGTTCGCCGTTTCTCCTACGTCGGAGGAACCGTGGTGCACCTGTGCAACAGTTTTCGGACAACCATTCGGTCCCTCGTTCGTGCCGCTTACCGTTCTCGCCGTCCGCCGCTTAAGAGCTATCGTGGTTCCGTGGACGGAGGTCAGCGGCAGCGACAGCGGTCGATAGTGCCGTCGGCCACCACGTGATCGCTATTTTATTACACCAGCTCCGACAGATGGTTTCGTGGTCCGTTTGGTCCTTAAGCTTCCGATGGTCTCATGCGTCGTTTTACTGCGCTGTACCCCCCACCATTCGTTGAACGCGGCTGTCCGCCATTTTATTTATCGGTGCCACATCATCATTTGCCGTTCAACTTCGGTCGAAGAGAGTCACTCTTTCGCTCGCGATCGCACATCATTTTCTTATGCCATGTGCGTTCGTTAGATCGCACACACTTCGTTTCGATCGCTAATACGACTTCAACGGTACCTTAGTAGCATCCACCATCATGGATCGCGTTGCATCCGAGGACGACTTGGTCCCAGAAGGTAATCATCGGACACTGCTATTGAATGTTTCGGAGAAAATGAAAAAAAAAGTCAAAAAATCATTAAATCTTTTGACAGGTGATGATTATAACAAGGTATTGAATAACCTAAAGAGTTACTTACCATTTATAAAAAAAGTCATTGATGGCCAAGATTTGGGTATTCAAGAAGAGCACCTAAAAAAACTGAAGTATCTATATGAAATGGTCGACTCGAAAAGGTTGGATTTCATTTTTATACCTACACTAATTTTTCACTACAATAAACCAAAATAAAAAATATGGATCTGTAGTAAATTTATTTTCTCTATAAAAGCAAATAATATGTAAGGTTTGTAAAATTACAGGTTTGAAATTTAAGTTGAATTAAATAGTATAAATCTATTGTATACTATTTAAATATTATTTAGGTTTTATTTTTTGGTTTATGAGGAACATTAATAATATAATTGATTCAAATTGTATATGAAATTATAAATAACAGATCTTAGAATTCAATGTTTAATGGATGTATCCTAAAGCCTATAGTTTACATTTATTTTTACAGTTTACTTTTATTCAGTGTGTATGATAATAATATTATATTAGTAATGGCATGTATTTATTAATACATACTATGTATTTATATGTATTAACTAGATGTGTGTAACTTTTGTTGTGTATATTGCCAATCATTTTTGCAAAATAAGATTACATGCCATAAAAATTGTTTTAAAGAATGAAAAGATCCTTTCAGAAATATTTTGAATATTGTATTCCAATGTTTCTTAGTATAATATTAATTCAATTTAAATAAAAACTACATTAAATCAATTTAAAACAAATTTTTTTTTTATAATTATAATTTGGTATTTATATTTACTCTTTTGTTTTTATGTATACAAATAAATATTACTAACTGTAATACCTATTTTAATGACTTTCATTTTTTTTTGTTGTTTTAAATATCAAATGTTATTTTGGTATTACAATTTTGTAGTAACAATGCTTTAAGTTTGATAAATATTGTATGATTATGAAGTCACTAAAACAGTGTATGAAATGTTTAATAATTGAGATTACATTAAGAGATAATAAGATAATAAGTGTTAAATTATTCATATTTTTATATGAAATTTAAATTATTGAAAATATATGTCTTTCTAATTATATTATTTTTTGTTTTCTTAGGTTGTCAGCAGATAAACTTAAACCTTGCCAAAAAATAGTTCATTCTCTGTACTTAAATTACAATAAACGGATAACCAATGTAAGTTATTATACTATTAACCATTGTTGAAATGGTTTTTAAGTTATTATTAACGTTAAAGTTAATATTTATAATTATATAATTGAGAGTTATTTTAAAATGCCTTTAAGTGTATTCAAATTATTTAATTGTAAATACACCTATTTATATTTTTGATAAATTTTGTGTAACATTTTTCCTTCTTTTTATCATTATTGGATTATGAGGTATTTTGATACATTATATAATTAATGTTCAAACTATCATTGTATGATTAATTAGTTTTCATTTTCTTTATATATCAAAATTTTTAAACAGGATGAAGTTAATAATATGAATGATTTTAAAGAAGTTTCACATACAGATAAAGGAGAAGATAAAACTAAGTACATAATAATTTTTATTATACATAATTTATTATTATTAAATGCATATTATGCAAACAAATAATAAATTATTTTTTTTTAACAAAGATATTAAATTTATAGATTTTCAGAAGTAAAAATGCCTTCAAACAAAAGTGATCAAAAAAAAGAATGCGAGTACAAAGATTTGAGTAAAATATCTGTATCAAGTTCAAAAGATAATCTATTAAATTCAGTGGAATATCTTGAGAAAGATAATGTACCAGTCATTGAAAAATCCCATGAAAATATTAATAATAGTGAGTCCACTTGTATAAGAAATTTAGAACATGCTGATATTTTGCATACTCAAAATGATCTACCAGAATTCTCTGATAGTCGTTTAAGACTCAATAAGGTTATTGGTTTTGCTGCTAATGCATCTATTGAAAAACTTAAAACTTCTGATACAACTATCCCAAATTCTGAACTTGCTAAACAAATTTTTGATGAAATCACTAAACAGAATAAGAATAAAATTGTTTGCAATCAAATGTTAAAAGGTATTAACATGAATGATATTGATATAAACCACGTTAAAAATGTCATAGAAAATATTAAAAAAACAATTGTTGAACCTATTGAACTGCCTCCACCACCACCAGAAGATCTATTGGAGTTGCAAAAAGCCAGTGTCAAATTTATATCAAGTGAACCAAATGGTCATAAAACCCAAGATAATGTTATATCATTACGACCTGAACTTAAACCTAGTTCCAGTTTAATACCTAAGTCTACAAGTATTCGTGAAAAATTAAATAGTGAAATAAATATACTGCATAAAATTGGTTCTTCAAATGAACCCAAACAAAAGTTTATTTCTTCGTTAAAACCTGGTACATTAATCGATCTTGAAAATTCAAAAGTATCTCGTTCTTCATTACATATTGAATCTCTTAGACCAGTTATTAAATCAAGTGATAAAAAAATAGTTCTTCCACTTGCTCCTGAAAAGATTGTTTCTCGTGATCCAAGAATTAAAAAAAAAAATTTATTGAATTCTGAAGGTATTAATTTGTTACAAACAAGTGGACAACTGTTGATTCCAACTAGTATAGTACCTAACACACAAAATCATTCTTCAAGTACTGTTTCTTCATCTGTTATGCTTTCTGATATAAATCTTTCAAAGTCTAAAGGAAAGGATATATTTTCTCAACAGGAACCATTGGTATATAATGAACCTAATAGTTTCCGAAATCCAATAAGTCAAACTAATTTACAACCATTTCATAAATATACAGAATATAATGGAAACCCCAGTAAACCTCAACATAAAATTTCCAAAACATCTATTCATAATCAATTTAAACAAAATGATTATGTTTTTGATAAAAATAATTTGAGCCAAATTCAAGTTAATTCAGTATACTATAATGAAACAACGATAAAATGTTGTGAGTTAAATAGTAATACAACTTCAATGAGAAATCAAAAGTTGAAAAATGAGCAAAACAAACAATTTCGTAGTTTTAAAGAATTTAGAGAAGCTAAGTATGGTAAAGTAAAACATTCTAACCATGAATCTACCAAAAACAAAATCCATGATTGTCATCACAGCATTAAAGATGATGATACATTTAAAAACATTAATAAAGCTGATCTTAAAAGTAATAATCCTTATACTAGTTTTGGAGCTGTAAATGATGTGAGTAGTATTAAAAGTTTTAAAATACCTAAAATTAAACGTACTGAAGAATTAGTTAATAGTATAAAAGATAATACAGATATCAATTTTAAAAATGGTGAAATAATAGAACAAAACATGAAGAATAATCTAATTAAAGATAATTATACTGATAGACATACAAAAACTCCCGTTATTAAAGAAAAATACATAACAATTGAAACAACTAAAGATGATGTAGATAAAGATAAGAAATCTAGTACAATCATAGTTAATAACTCAAGTAAAGGTCTAAAATTTGATACAGTCGAAGACAATATTATAAGAGACATGCCAATTGAAATAAATAAAGATAATAATGAAATTAATGATTTGAAAGAAGATATAAATAAAGATGATACTATAGAAAAAGAATTAAAAACTAATAGTAATCAAGATAAGAATCTTGAAATTTTAATGGAAAGTGATTCAATGATTATTAATGAAATTGATCATAATATTAACACTAAACCGTGCTCTAAGGTTAAAAAACCTAAAAAGTATTCTAAAGAAAAAGAATTTGAAAAAATTGTAAAAGAAGCAGTTGAAAGCTTATATATTGATGAACATTATCCAAGAATTAGAACAAGAAGTTCTTTAAAAAAAAATGAAGAAAGCCTGATTAAATCAAATACACAAAAATCAAAAACAGAAGATTTAAACTATGAACAATTAGTAGTAAGAGAAAATAATAAGAATCTTGGAAGTGACTGTAATCAGGTTTCTGGCTCTGATATTAGTGGATCAGTTGAAACTGATCAAAATACTATATCATCCACATCTAAAGAGCCACTTGAAGTTAATTATTCTGCAGAGAATCACTTTTCTAAAGAAAATACTGTTTCCTCTAGTGAGATTAATTCTACAGTTGATAATACGAGTACAAACATTAATGAAAAAGTTATATTTAACATTTTGGCACACCCAGAATTAATGAATATTTTACAAGACAAAGGAAAAATAACAAAACTTACTAAATTGTTAGAAAGCTCTGATATTAATACTAATGAAGAAAACAATTTAAACCAAGAACACAAACGTCCTAGTACATTTAAATTAAAAAAAGAAAAAAAAAGATTACAAAATAAAGTTAAGAGGAAGAAAAAAAGAGAAAAAAAGACTTATGATAAACAAGGTTTTTTTCTTGGAGAAAATAGAAATAAACTTGTTGGTACTATATCAAATGATAATCATTTGAACACAGAAGAAAACATTGTTGATAGTTCTTTTGGTAATTTAAATTATAATGAAAGTAGAATTTTGGAAACTGAAGACTATACATCAGTTGATAGAGTTAAAAAAAAAAGGAAACATAAGAAATCCAAAGAAAAATATCCACATTTTGAAATTCAAGATAAATATTCATGTAAAGACCTAAAAATAGTGATTTCAAAGTTCGATAAAAATAATAAAAAAAGTGAACATTTAAATTCAAAAGTTTCTTCAAGTAATGATTTACAAAATAGTCATCAACCAACAAATAATAAAAAAAATGCATCTTTAAAACGTAAAAAACCCTTTTTAGGTCCTTTAAGTGTTAAATTAGCTAGACAGAAAATGGAAGCCGAGTTGAATAATTCACAGAAAGGGTTAGTTGAAAATACTCAACATGCAATTAAGACTGATAATATTATTAAAAAGAAAAAAAATTCTAAATCTTTAAAAAATTTTAAAAAGAAAGTTCTTGATTCTCAAACAAAAACCACTATGTTAAAAGAACCCTATGTTGTATTAAATCCTTATGAATGTTCTTCTAAATATCCTACGTCTATTAAGGGTTCTATTGATACAACTTTCCAGAATAAACCACTTGAAGCTGAGCTAAATTCAATTACAACAACTTCAACTGAATCAAACATTACTGATGTTAAATCTAGAAAACCTAAACCAAAAATGACGGAATTAGATAAACTTCATGCTGATATTAATGAAAACTGTGCAGCTGTGTTAACTATTTCTAATGTTCGACACTGTAGAAAAAATAAACTAGTTGATTATGTCAATACTAATACTCCTAATACTTTAACTTTGTCAAAGAAAAAGAGATCTTCAAATATAGATTTGAATGAAGATGAAAATTCTTTAGAAGTTTCTAAAGAAAAGAAAGGTAAAAAATCTACATTTGAATTGAATAAAAACGAAATAAATACAAAAAAAAAGATGTCACATACTATAGTAAAAACTACGATATCTGGTAAACGGTCAAATATTTTACATCCAGATAATCCTAATAAAATAAATTTCAATAAATCAAAGAAAAGTAAAAAGAAATTGAATTTTAATAAAAAATCTTCAGTTAGTAATTTGTTGACTGATGAAGTAACAACAGAAGTAACATCAAAAATAATAACAGATGACGAATTTATTGATAAATTTTATTTTCAAACCGCAGATAATTTATTAGAATGTAAATTTTGTCATTATAAAGACACAGGATTAAATATTGTTCGCCATTATAAAGAAAAACATAAGGATGAAGAAGTACTACCATCCAGATTGTCTAAAAATATTGCTGAAATATTAATTAGTGAATCTCTGAAAGAAAATGTTGGGTTTATAAAGTCTGAAAAATTTGAAGATACTAAATTTACAAGCTATATGCCTGTAAATAATTGCTTTACATGTGTTTTTTGTCAAAATGTTTTTAATGATTTTATTAAGTTTTATGATCATATCACTTCTCATACTGGAGAATATAGATACAAATGTAAAATGTGTGAACAAATTTATTCTAATGAAGATGAGCTAGAAAAACATATTTTGGATCATTCAGACTATGATAAAACTGATAGAATTTCGTATTTATTATATCCTGATCCTGTTCAGAAGACCAAAATGTTCGGATACCTTTGTTCATTTTGTTATTTTGTTCAACTTGATTATAATAATATTGTGAAACATATGCAATATAGACATTGGGTTGAAGATGAACAAAGTAAAGGTCGTTGGAGTATTATACGTGTTAGTCTATCAGCTGAAAATGAAAATATTACCACTTCTGAAATTGATAGTAAGAAGTTGATTGGATGTTTACCTTCTGAATCATTTTATCAACAAATTCAGAATACTGAATCAATAGATCCAGAAGATACAGAAGATTCAGAAGATCAAATGTCACATATAAGTGTATCAGAACTTATTGCTCAAGCTAAAAAGAAATTGCAAGATAAAACAATATCTATAGATAAATTACCAGTTAATTCAGCATCTATAAAGGAAGAACATCTAGATTTATCTAAACTAAGTATTCAATTATCACCCAGACAAATAGATCAATGTAAGTTAATATTTATGGTTGTATATGGAACTATATTATGCATTTATTTAATCTGGTAATTTTTTAAATAGCTCTTGAAAACAAAAACAGATTTAATGTAATTAATCCTGGGATTGAGAATGCTGAATATACTTTAAAAGAAAAGTCTACCAAATGCATAGTTGCTGGTTTAAGTTGTGAAATAATAAATTCAGTGTTATTGTATAAATGTTCTGTATTAAAATGCCATCAGAATGCATTTTCTACAGTAGTCTTGGCTGATTTTTTCAAGCATATTGAATTAAATCATCAATTTTTAATTTGGAACAAAATGTGTGATTTATGTGGTGATAAACTTCAGATAATGTGTGATACTGATCAATATTATTTGAAAGATGCTTTAGAACATTTAATTTCATATCATTTGGTTTTAAAGAAAGATGAACAATCTACCATCTGTATGTACAATTTGAAATAGATAATTGAGGAATAAAATTTACTTAATTTATGTTTTAACAAATCTTTTAGGTTTAAATGAAAAATTATCTTCACCTATTAGTCATCAAGTTTCTATTCAAAATTCAACTACTGAAGAGAAACCAAAACCGTTGATGACGTTAAGAGTTCGTTGTTTACCCGGTGATAAATTATCTTTACGTAAGTTATAATTTGAATTTTTTATGACTGGCTTGGCTAATAAATAATGAGCAATTTGGATTAAATTTGAATAAATTGTATTATATTTCTGATTAAAAATATTTGTATATAAAAATGTTTATATTTTATTTTAGATAATTTAAATAGATAATATATTAGTATAAATTTGATAATGCAAACATTAAAAATTATTCAACATTAATATTTTCGGCTGGTTATGTACATGCATCATACATTTACCTAAACATAAATTTAAGGAAAATATGTTAAGTACTAATTATGGGCTTGAGTATATTTACTGCTAATATTATGCGTTTAAAGATGTAAAAATAAAATGTTTGAAAATGTGAATACTTTGATGAATAATTCACAAATTAATTGCTTACGTGAAAAATAAAGAGTCAAATGCAGTGTACATTTTTTTTAGTAATTTATATATAATAAATGTATAGTAAGGCAGTTAAAAAAAAGGTCTTGACAATCTGATGAAAAAAAGTGAATCAAAAATTTTAGATCAGTTTAAAGCCACCCACCATATCTCATAGTAGTGTTTTCAAATGGCAAAACTATTGCTATTTTAAAACAAAAAATGTTGAAAGCCACGGAAAGAAATTAATTGAAATTGTAAAACATCACATTGAGAATAAAATGTAGTTAAAAGAATATGAGGTGTTGTGAATTGGAGTATAAACAATTAAATAAGGAAGCAGAAAATAATTGTAGTTAAAAAATTAAAGTTAAAAGAAGAATTTAGATTTTTGTGCTTGGTTAGGAATCAAAGAGACGAAAATAAAATGTGTTAAGATTTGAGAACAATGATTTGAAAATTTGCAGAATGTATTTTGCATAAAAGAAATTATTAATTGAAATTTTCCAATGGAAAAAATAGATGAAGTGGCATGGAATTTAGATATGATAAACTTAATTAAAAAGTTGGAGCTGGAGTGTAGTTATGAAAATTAAGAAAAAAGTGATAGGATTAGATGAAATATCTGTTTAGTTAATGCTAGTGTTAAGAGATATAGATGTAGAATGATTGTCTAGTTTTTAAAAGGGAAAATATTATCTTCTGATAATCTGGTATTGAAAGGTTAGGTGTATATAATAGCATTAAAGTTATTATTATTTTAAACTAAGACTCACGAGTATAACAATTTGGAAAAATATGTAAGAGATAGAGAACAAGGAATTGATGTGTCGATTAGTGATGGACAACGATATCGATAATTCGATACGATATCGATATCGAACAAATTCTGATATCGCGATACAATATCGAGAAAATTGGAACGATATCGATACACAATATTATATCATTGCTCAACACTAATGGCAATACTTGTTATAAAGATATGTAGAGATTATTTTGCGGATGAGGTTTATAAGTTTATGTACTCATTGTGAGTAGAACAAAGAAATGATGATTTTGGAGAGAATGTGAGAATAAGCTCAAGTGTGGATGGATGAATTAGATAACAGAGTAATGGGGTATTGTGTGGTAAGATTCGAAGAAAATTCACAGGTAAATCATATAAAATAGTTTTTTGGATTGGAATGATAACAATGAATAAGAGACCAAAAGAGTATTATAAAATGTGAATGAAAACTGTATGTTGATTGTATAGAAATAGGATAAAATTGAGGATCGCAGGTGTGTGTAAATAAAAGATAGATAAAAGGATATAATAGAAGTATTGAATGAGAGTGACTGATATAGTGGCTTCCGTATAACTGTGATAGATGGTTAAGACAAATAAAAAGAAAACATTTATTACAAATAATATCAAATAATATGTATGGTAGAACCTCGATTTCTGTACGGATAAATGAAAATCACGTATAATTGACCTCTATATACATTTTTTTAATTTTGGGAAGCTTCATTGTTATACTTTTGAGTCCATACATTATATTACTTTTAATCAACGCCTTTTGGAAGGCTTTGACGGGAACATCGCTTTAAACGAAGCATTGTCACGGCTGCTTGGATAGCTTCAATGTTATCACAATTTTGTCCTTTAAGTGCAGTGTTTATCTTCTGGAATAAAAGGAAGTCAGCCGGAGTTATGTCAGGACTATATGGTGGCTGCGGTAACGTTAGCCCGTAGTGTTTCGCTAAGAACTCACGGACATGCAGAGACGTGTGGCCCGGGTGCATTATCGTGATGCAGTACCCAGGTAGCTGCAACATCTTTTCATATGTGTATGACCCTTTTCTTAGTTTTTCCAGTACATCAATGTATAAAGTAGCGTTGACGGTTTGTCCTTGAGGTAGAAACTGAGAACCACGTAATTCACATAAAAAAAGATAGCTGTTTTCAGACATTGTTTTTACTTTGGATTTATTAACCCTCGCCTTTTTTGGTTTAGAGGACGCCAAAGTGTGCCATTCAGAACTTAGGTGCTTCGTTTCTGAATCTTACTCAAAGGTTCACGTTTCATCACCAGTAATAACATTTACTAAATAATCAAGTTTAATTTCCATCCGTACCTTCACTTTACTTCTGATCTACTCTCAATTGAATTTTTTTTTTTTTTTTTTTTATTTATTATAATTAAATGTTTCAGCATATTGCATGCTATTACAAGTTTGTAGATTACAGTTTAAAAGTTTAGATTACGGTTTATACAAATAGAATATGGAATGGGATTGTAGATAATTTTAATGAGGTTTGTTGATAAAAGATTTAATATTGGAAATAATGACTGCTATGGGAATATTGTTGTTAATTTGCTTAAAATTACAGTTATCAGAGAAATTAATGGATTAAATAATATTTTGAGTTCATTCAAGATGTTTGACATTGAATTTGAATTTGAATTTGTAGTACTGGATATTGGTTGGGCGGCTGTTACATTGGCATATGATGGACCGGACGGGGAAGCATGCGATGCATGACGACGTGAGGTGACTTGTCGTTTAGGAATTTCTGTCTTTTTTAGTTTGTTTGTTGATTTAGTCAGTTTTTTGTAAATTATACAACCTTTGTATGAAGCTGTGTGTGCACCAGAACACAGTGCACATTTAGCCGGACATTTAGCTACTATCTTTGGTCCACATATCTGTTAAGTGATTTTCGCCGCATTTAACGCATCTAGGCTGCTGACTACAGTAGTTGCGCGTATGGCCGTAAGCTTGGCATGTGTAGCATTGAGGCGGGTTTTTTCGTTTGGTATGTGGTTTTTCAATCAATACTGCGGAGTGAAGAAGTTTTGTAATCTTGAAGATTTCTTTATTGTTTTCTTTAAGAGCCAGTTCTACATGGAATATTGGTAAAGGACGATGGTTCTTTTTGATATTAACCACGCGCGTGGCCGAGTGTCCAAGTTCAGCCAGGGCGTTTGTAATATCAGTTGTGATAGTGGAGTGATGCAGATTTCTGATTACTGCTTTGTATTGACGTTTGCAGTGCGGCCGAAAAGAGTGAAATTCGGCTTCGGTTTCTTTTAAGTAGTCAATTACTATGTTGTGGTTATGCGATTGTTGGGGCGGATTATAATAAATGATGGTGTAGACTTAAATGAAATATCGTTAGTGCCTGTGAGTGATATTATTTTCTTACTGAATATTGAGAAGTTGGTGACGTTCTTAATGTAGATCGCCGGTATTCGGGTAGGCATAGGTGTGGTTTTAGTTTTATTTAGTTGCTCACAGATTACTATGTTATCGTTTGGTTTAAATACCTCATTTTCAATTTCGTCGTCAGAGACCTTGGCCAATGCCGCGTATCGATTTGGTGATGTATATTGTTTGATTTGATTTTCTTTTCTTCTTGTGGTGATGGGCTAGAAGGCGAGGACAAATGCCGTTTTGATTTTTGGGTTTGTGGTGGTTGAGGCGGCGCCATGTTTGGTGGACTCGGAGTAATTACGAAGACCGATAACGGAGCGGACGTGTGCGCGAACGTGTGTTCATGTCGAACGTTATCGCCAGACTGTGCAATTGAATTTTTACTTGACCATCAAAACGATGTTTTTGCAATGTTCAGCTAACAACCATCTAACACTCAATCGACGATCAGAATTCAATAAATTACGCGCATGACTCACATTTTCATCGATTCAGCTTGTTGATGGCCGTCCAGAGCAGGGTCATCTTTCACTCCTTCCTGGTTAGAATTTAAGGCCCTTCTTAAACTTTTTCATCCATCTTGTAACTTGCTCATACGATAGAGTTGACGTAGTCTTGTCTCAGCAATTCGTAAGTGTCGGCAGGTTTTTTGTCAAGTTTGATGTAGAATTTGATCGCCTTACGTTTAAAAGAATTTGTCATTTTTGTCGTGATTTAGTCTTAAAACAGGGCTACACTAAATCAGCAATTTTGACGCAACCGATGCTTGGAATAAACTGAGTTTTGTTCATTGTAAATGTTTCTCACGCCTAATCCAATCGGTCTGAACATGTCAACAAAATAATATGCAGTAAAATCTCTATAAGACAGAGTCGCTTGGGACCATGACATTTTTCCGTCTTGACGGGGTTAGTTAATTTGAAACGGGACCAAAAAAAATGTTCCATAATATCGGCGTTTCCATCTTACCGAAATTCCGTTTTATCGAGGTTTTACTGTATTTCATAACTTTTGGAACGCCCCTCGTTTATGAGTTTCTTTAATATATTTAAAAACCAAATGTTTCTGTTAATAAATTTGATATTTAATGCTGTAAAAGTGATTGTGGCTTGGTAGATCCATTGAATTTAGAATATACGTATTTAGTCACCATTTGGGCTGTCAGCTATTTGATATTATTCTTATGTAACAAGTTTGTATTCTTGGACTTAAGACCTAACTTGTGACTTGGTATATACCTGATGATGAATTTTGCATTAAAAACCCATAATTTACAATTATAATAATATTCCAGGTCATAGGTGTGGGCAGACCTATATTTCGGGGGTTTTCTACAATACTTTTGGACCTTATCTTAACAAAACATTTAGGTATATTTAATCAATCAATTTATATTAATATTATAATTTTATTTGATATTTTGGTATATTAATCCCAATGAATATGTTTTCCTTGAATCTCGTATTTTTTTTACAAATAGTTTAAATTATTTATGATTTGTACTTATGTAGCCAATTATAGCTGTTATAGCCGTTATATAATATTATCTTAATATTTTTTTGCATAAAAATTTAGAAAATTTAGTTTAATTTTTTCTTTTACGAAACATCGTTTAATTTTACCAATTATTTAAGAATAAATTGCATTTAATTTGAGTAACATCAGTTTAAATATGGACGCCTTACTCTTTAACTTAAAATTTAGGGCCCAATTTACTACATTGATACACCAGGTATTCCCTGTGCCAGACATTACTTTGCGTTCCTGGTTTAGCATTTATTTATTTATTTATTTATTTATGTACTAATTTACGATTATTAGCCATTTACTAATTTTAAATTTAAATTCAATTTTTTATTATTTGTTCTTGACACTCCATAAAAAATAATTTTAGTAGTCGAAAACTTTCATATCAAATTGTCTATTTGAAAATCATTAATAGATTCAGAAGTAATAGCACATGTCTGTCATACAAGATAAAAAATTTCAGGCAAGTAAGAGCAAAAGGTTTTTTTTTCATGAGAAATAAATTCTTCTTTTCTTCTTTTCTAAAGATCTTGTCAAAACCAAAAAAAAAAATTGACTTCCACTCTTTTCTCTTTAACCCCATTTTTCATATGGGAATACTCAATGCTATAGCCATTTAAATTATCTATCCAATGAATGTCTTCCTCTTTTGCGCCTATTGATTTTTCTTTCCATATATTGGTTATAAAGGGATTATACGAGTATCTTATTAAGTGTCTTATAAATAGAGGTCGGATTTTTATGATTTTACATATTTGTTTCTAGTCTATGCAATTAAATGGGAGTACGATATCTTTACTAGTGATTGGAAAAATATTTTGAATATAGATTTTTCGATGTATCGATATATCGAAATTTTAAACATTGATAGTGTCGATATATCGGATTTTTAAAAAAAAACATCGATGTTTTTTCTATTTTTTTTTTTTATAATTTCTTGATTAAAATAATTAATTTAAAAGTTAAAATACTATTGTTAAACTTTATTTTTTCATATAATATGTATTATTATAATAAACTGTTATGAAATTGATGAAACTGAATTTTTTTTACTCGGGCATTACCTTTATTATATAAAATATTTCCACAAATTAATATGACATAAAGTTCTTTAGTCTTAAATCTTAAAATACAGTTTTAAACAATTATAATTAATTATAATATGATAATTACCAACGTGAAACTGTGAACTACGATTAAAGATGTCTTTAATCGTGGTCACGACTGAAAGAATTAAAATGAACACACTGTTAAGGACGTTGGTCACACTTACGAGTTACAACATATTTTACACATATTTTATCACGTATTACGTATTTTAAATTTTAATGCCGTTGCGAAACTCGATGGTTGAGTCGTTCGACGGAATACTCAACATTGAAAACCTCGTAAAAACCTCATGAAAAACTGAAAACTGTGAACTGACAATAACTGAATAACATAATTAAAAAAAAAAAACATCGAGATAGAAACATCGATGTTTTTTCGATGTATCGTCGATAAAAAAAACATCGAAGCAACAGTGATGTATCGAACAAAAACATCGATGTTTTTTGCAAAATTGTTTGAACATTGATTTTCGATGTATCGATACTACGATTTTTAAAATATCGATGTGTTCGATGTATCGGTGAAAAACCATCGATGTTTAGAACATCGAAGTTTTAAAACATCGGAAAAATTGTTTTCCCTCTAGAGCTGCCATCTGTTGCTCACCATATTATCAGTACAGTATACTATTTTTCTGATAAAATAATAAACTTAAGAGTTAAAATAATATTATTTCTCTTATAAATATTTTTTAAATAAATATTAAATACTTATAATCAGAGCTCGTAAGTTCATACATTTGCATGTTATCTTTGCTACATCTGAAAATATGCTAGTTGAGTTAAAAATCCGTTTCATAACAATGGTAATAAAAATCTAAAGTTTAATAGAGCATGTTTTTGCGTGTTTTGTGTGTATTGGCATATTTGGCATTTATTTGATTTTTTTTTTTTTTAATTATTAGCACATATTATTTTATGTAAATTTAGTAAAATCATCTTTCGTGGAAGTCAAAAAAAAATTAGATCAATAAATGTTTGAATTCATTCTTATACACTTTTTTGAACTTGTTTATAAAATGTTAGTATTTTATCAATAGTTTTATTTTTTTATGACATTAAGTTTTATAAGTTAAAACCAGTACCACGTAAACAATGTTATTGCGCACCACTATAACTATCCTTCTATTGACGTGTCCATTACAATCTATATATTTTCGTCTCAATGTGTGTCATTTAATGAAATGTAACCGAAAAAAAATTATAAGTTTTAAAAATATGAATGGCTAATTCTTATTATATAAAAAAAAATGCTTAAACATTTTTTTTGTGCGTAGTTAAGAATTTTTTATGCATATTTGATCAAATGTTAGTGCATAATTGCATGCTCATTCATGGGTTTTTTAATGCATGAACTAACGAGTTCTGATTATATTTGTATAGTGAAACTGTATCACAACTGTTGTATGCTGTATACTAAAATAATAGAAACAAAAAAATTCGAACATATTCTAACATCGATATATCGACATAAAACATCGATGTTTTTTGCTCATCATTACTTTTAAATGCTTATTGCTAATATTAATATGACTTATAAAATTTGCTAAAATATTTGATAAATCGATATTATATATTATTAAGACAGTGATTAATTATTTAAAGGTAAGAAAAAGTTACAATTTGCCAACACCTGCAAGTAGTTTTAACATTGACATTTTTTTAATTTATATTCATTGATGTGTATTTAATACGTACATATTTAAATAAGAATAAAATTACTTAATTTAGATACGTTTTTAAAATAAGATTTTTTTTTTGATTCCAAGTGAAATGAGGATGGAATTGGATAGAATTTTTTTATCTGTGTACACGATTTTGATCAAAAAGATTGATTCAATTATAATCAAAAGAGATTTCTGATAATAAATGTTTTTATTTGGTTCTTTAAAAGATTTAGTTTTGCGAATTTCCATGTAATTTTCTTAATTGTGAAAAACTTACAAAAACATATAAAATGTACGGTATACTGGTTTTCGTCAATATAAAATTTTCGATTTTATCTTAATTCAAAAATTAACAATCTTAGACACTTGAAATTTTTAGAAAATGATTTTATTACTATTTTTTGTAAATTGTATTATTTTCAAAAGTTTTTGAATTATTTTTACTAACTATAAATTTTCAGATTTTCTTAGTTTTATTTTAAAAATATTATTAAAATAATTTTAGTTAGACCAAATCTTGAAATTTAATATAAAGCTCCTTTTTATACATAACTATTAATAATTGACGAAAACAAATTGAGCATAGTTAAAATAAATAAAAATCTAACTTTATAAAGTTTAATATTTTAACAAAACACTAAATATTATGAAAGTTCACTACATTTTTTTAGTTAAAAATGTTTACAAATTTTAATATTTTTACTTAAAACTTGAAAATTGGATGTATGATTTCTTTGTGGCCAAAAAAAAAAAACTTGAAAAGTTGCAAAAATTATGAATAAGTGTTAAAAAAATTAAATTTTGATTAAATGATAATAGTTATCTAATTAAAGAAATTTTATAATTTTTGAAGTATTTTTATGAAGTTTTTTTAGGCATTTCACAGTTTTAATTAATTTATATCTTACCTTTTTTTTTTTTTTTTGCGAAAGGTAGAATATTTAAATTTCAACCATCTTAATATGAAAATTGATACTTTTACTGCATAAATTATCTTTAGAAGTATAAACTGAACTACTAAACCTTTTTCATTCAGAATTATTTTTTTTAAGTGGAGTGATACATTGGTTTCAAATTTCATAACAACAATCTGGGAGCCCTTTTCATTTATTATATTATATAAACTAACTGTCTAAATTATATCAATATTTCATAATAATTTAGTAGTAATTTTCTGAACAAACATATATTAACTTGAAATTATTAGAAATGTTCAATTTTAAACTAATAGGAAAATATATAATGCCTTTAAAGGTGATGAAATTATGATGAAAGAAGAAGAAAAAAATTTGAATCAAGATGTCCATATATTTGTCTTAAAAGATAACTGTAAATATGGTACTGTGGGAAGCATTATATGCGAACCATTTAATAATAAGTTATTGTTCAAATGCATGGATAAATTGTGTCCAAATAAATTTTCAACTATATCCTATGAGGAACTTCTTAAGCATATAGATTTATATCACAAAAATACCAGTTGGGATAGCATGTGCAATATTTGTGGATATGGATTGTGGAGAGATTTGAATCACCTGTACATGAGAAATGCTTTAGAACATTTGGTTTCATATCATTTAATTGAAAGTCAAAATACCAAAATCATAACATCTTGTAAGTAAAAATTAAAAAAAATTAAATTAAAAATTTTTTTTAACTTACAAAATCATAAAAATAAAGGAGAAAGTTAATTGATATTTTATGTTGTATTCATACCTATAAATATATAAATATATATTTGTGTTTTATATATCTCTCGTTATATTTGTCAATCATGATATTGATTAAATATATTTATGTATATTTAATCAATGGTCATGATTAATTTTTTAAACACATTTTTGAATTATATTGTTAAGTTTAAAATATATATTTTGGTAATTGGTTTTTACTATACATAATTAAAATATAACTTATCACGCCTGCTAGCATCATGCACATTTCCTAACCTAATTACATTCAGTGGTGTATCCTGTGAGTGGGAGGGGGTCATAACCCCCAATATTTTTTCAATATTAAATTAATTTAATAATCAATCAACACAGCGCCCAGCCGTTCCCATTACTTTCAAGATATCTTATAGTATATACTACGAATAAACTAACTAACCCCACCCCCCAAAAAAAAAATCTGGATAAGCCACTGATTACGTTTACTATATTAACAATATAACCAACTAACTAATAACAACCAAACCAGTTAGCATGTTTAATGTATTTTATTAGTTATTGGTAAATAATTATAGGCAAGTATTATATTAATAATTATTATTAATAAAAAAAACATATTTAATAATAATATACCAATTTATTTATAAATTATGTATATATATTATATAGTTCTTAATTTTTTTATACAGCTAGAACTGATACTTCAACAATTACCAATGATGGTTTACCTGTTAGTAACATGCTTAAAAATACAAATTCTGGCAAAGAAAAAGGTTATAATTTTTATTATTATTTAATGAATTATTTTGTTTTTATATTAAATCATTATATTTTAAATAGAACAATAAATTGTATGCTGAAATTATTTTAGTTAAATTTATTTTATATGTATAATTGATATTGATTAAAATATAATAAATAATTTTTTTTATCATTTATTACCACCAGTACTCGTTACAAATTACACCAGTAATTTGGGAGTTCGCTCCTCTACTTTTTTTTTTTTTTTTCTGAAAAGTGGTATTCAAAATATATGTAAGGTTAGCTTTGCCCTCCACGGGTCTGTGTTAAATAATTGCGCATGTGGAACGCAGTTTTTAAATTTTTGGAATGAGCTTCTTTACTTAAATTTTTCCAATTCAAGCACTGATTACAACTTTTTCCTTACCAAAATGTGTGTATTCCCTACCCATATGACATACTAAGACTACAGTTCATAATGGCCATTGAAAGTTGGAAATGCTAAAAAGTTCATTATGTATCATTTAATGAAAAATTATTAATTAAATAATAATACCATTTGAGCTTAAATAATATCAGCATATTTGCAAATTATTTTGGAATCCTAAAACTATTTTTCTTCTTGGTGGAAAAAGAGGATGCATAGAAAACTTTTTTTTAAACAATGTTGTCGAGTTCTACTTATCTATATTTATTCATTTCTTAATTTAGGATTAGAATTATTTATTTGTATATTATATTAGAAATCAAATTATAAATATTGTTTTTCCATTGACTCTTCCCTATTCTTGCTTTTATATAATGTTTGTGATAAATAATTAGAACATAAACCATAAATAACTTCTATTTAACTGTCATATTATAATTTTTTTTTTCAACTTACAATTGAGTCTGTAGAAATTTATAAATGAATTATAAATTTTTTTATAATTTTTACTATAGATGAAAGAGTAATTGAAAATGTCTCAGAAGAAAATATTGTGGATACATTTAAGCAACCCAGTCAGGTTATATTCAGTAATCCGTTTGAATCATCAGGTAATAAGTATAACAGTTTTTTTAATACTTGAACTTATTCACTAAATGTTAAAAAAAATATGATGTATTACTACAATTAATAATTTAATTGTTTTCAAATGATTAATAACAAGACCAAAATAATATTTTTTAAAAATTTCAAACTTAAATTTATTTTTAATGGAGAATTTTCATTTATGTTATAAAAATAAATATATGAAATTAATTCTAAATGTTATGTAAACATTTTGTATTTAATTGGCAATAAATTTCCTTATGGTAAATTAAAGTTATTATTACTTATTATAAAAATTTTTATTGATTTCAATGATAGACAAATGCAGATAATTTATTTAACAAATGACTAAAAAAACAAAAATCATATCTTACTAAAGTATCGACCAAGACTATTACATTTCATATTATTACATGTAAGGTAAAAATACTCACCACTTAAAGTATCACCACACGGTTTTTTTAAGTGGCAGGTCTATATATATATAAAAAAAAATTTAAGAGCAAATAGTTGACCAAATAGTTAAATACTTTAATTGTCACTTATCCAAGTGGCTTGACAAAGCTAACTGGCCAATGAAGGATTTGCTGTGACATGCGTTCCTACATTATTTATTTATTATTAAGTTGCAATCATTTTTATTTTCAAAATAACAACTTTTTGATTGGTTATAATATATAAATCTTAATTAACTCTATTACATTTATTATTTTCAAGCCCACCAAGCAAACATTGATGAAGTGTCTGATAAAAATGTTCCAGTATTAAATCCAACAGCTATGGACATTGTGAGTTTAAAGGAATTTTATTTTTTTAATTTCAATCTAGAATTTGTTAGAAACTTAAAATTTGATACCATTTAGAGTAAAACAAGATTTGATTTTACCATATTTTTATTTTTTTAGGGAGAAGTTGTTAATTTCCCTGAAATTAATCCTAGTGAACCATCTTTTAATGTCAATCTCTGTTTACCACTAAATATGAAAGTAGTTTGTGAAGATATACCACCAAATCCTAATATATATCTTAAACCTGGTCAACAAATTGTTAACAATGGAGAACCTATACAGAATTCTTATTGTTTAATTGACACCAGTTATAAAAAATCTTACTTAAAAATAATACGAAACTTGCCAGTTAATGTAATGAAAACACCATTAGCATTTAACTACATGATGGCATTTCCAAGACTTTTGGGTCTTTATAAATGTTTAGACAGATCCTGCACTAAAATATTTTCTGATAAAAAGTTATTTACATTACATATGAAATTGCATTATTCAAATATGGAAAAGAAAAAAAGTAATTATTTAAATATTTTTTTATAAAATATATTCTTTTACTAATGTTTATTATTTTAGAAAACCAAATTTATAATACTGAACAGTTCAAAAAATGTGCCTATTGTTTTAAATCATTTGATGATGAAAATTCATTAGCTGATCATATTGCTGAAAAATATACTTATTGCAAATATTTTTGCTCATATTGTTTTTACCGTGCATATGAAGCTTCTCATGTATTAATTCACCAGGTAATTTATATTTTTTTGTTTATACTTATGGTTATAATAATGAAAGTATATTTTTGTTTTATCTAGAGTATAATTCATTTTCAATCAATTCCTTCAATTTTACATCTTGAATACAAAGACCGTGATGAAAATTCAAAAGAATTACTATTGGCAGTAGACTATAATAATTTTATATTGCCTTATCGTTGTGACGTTGGTAAGTTATTTATTTATCATTATTAACTCTTAATGTTCATATGTTTTTGGAAAATTCAGCAATGTCCATCACTTGTTCTCATTATTATGCATTAATTATAGATTATTGTGTATGTACAAAAGTTGAGGAGATAGATCTAGGCTTACTGTAGTCTGTATTAATTTATGAATATTTTTCATTTTTTTTTACTGTTGGTTTGTTTATTTTATATCTTCAATACTTTAAGTTAATAAATACTGTTGTAATAGAAATTCAAAAAAGCTAATTTTTTTTTTTGGTAAACATATTAGTTTTGGCTTTTATGATAGCAACTATTAATAATTCATTATTATTATTATTCATTAATTTAATTTTATAATTTTTGAAATTTTTAAATTAATTACCTTTCAGGTGTGTGATATAACTTGAATCTTTTCATTAAATGTGCCTGTTAATAAATTATGATTAAAATTAAAGTTAAACATTTATTTATACTGGATTGTTAGTAGTGCTCAAATTAGTAAAATAGTTATGCTGTTAACTTATAAAGAGGAGCAATATCAATTTTTTTTAATTATAATTCATGTAATTTAATTTCTCTTCATTTTACAGGTTATATAAATATAATTTTAAATTAATTTTTTTATAATTGTTAAAAATAAAACTATTTACCAAATAAATTAAATTATTATAATTTTTTTTGAATTTATTTTAAGAAATAAAAATTATGCCAATAAAATGTAATTAAAAAAAACATTAGTCTCAAAGATTTGAGATTTTTGACTTATTAACATGTATAAAATTAATCAGAATTAATATGTCAATGTATTTTTATACTATCATACCAGAAGTAGAAACTAAATAAAATTATGGTAAGGAGGAGGGGGAGCAAATCTAAAACATTCAATATCTTCTATGGAAAAAAAATTGGTTGCTGCATTTGCATCACATAAATTATTATTATTTTTGTCTGAAAATTGACCATCTAGTATTGATAAATTACTCAGCTACCTTTCAAATTAAGGTTAGCAATTGCCCCTCTACCTCCTTTAGATTTGTGCCTCTTTATCATACTTAAGCTTAAAACAGAAGTTGTGACCGTGGACAACCATAAATTTTTTGATGGTGTATATTTGTTTGACAAGTTCATCTTTAGATAATTGTGTCAAAATCATCAATGCTAACTTCTTTTACCATCAATCATAGATAAACTTTTAAAAAGCAAGTCTTTAACTTAACTCGAGTTGCATCACAAACTCCTTTTCTCTTACACTACTGAGCATTGCAATATAATAAGTTTGAACACATAACTATACTTGATTAAACTTAAAGATTTGTTAATTAGTTCAATCACAAATTAATTTATAATTTGCCCAGAACTAGACGAAACAAATGAAACTAAACATAAAATTAAATTTGGTTCAACAATATAAAGGTATCTTAAAATAATATATTTTTAATCAAATATAAAACTTGCAAATTCTAAGTTGTATGTAAAATAGAAACAATATAAGCAGATGTGGCTGGCATTCTCATAAAATATAAAAAGTATTTAAAGCTTATGAAAAAGGAATCATTTCTAAATGTTTTTCGAGGCATTCTCATTTCTCAATTATAAATAGATCTTGGAGGTAAAGGTATGCAAATGCGTTTCTTAGCATGTTTAAAATATTGTTTCGCCATTTTAATAAATCATCACATTCAAAATCTCCAGTGTACAAATGTTACATTTGTCATTATTTATACCCAAGAATGATCTATACAACATTTAAAAATATTAGTATTAATAAATAATAATTTAAATTAGTTCTTTTGTTATGAAAGTCTAAATTTTATATCACACATTTTTTTATACACGATAGGTATCTTACAAACTGCAGAATAAGTAGAATGAGTAAATATAATGAGAGAAATATTTCCATTCTAAGAATTTCATTTGAGAAGGGAGGGTATTCAATAACAAAACCCCTAACATATAGATTTTAACATTTTAATGGATAAATAAAATCCTAGATTGATTCTATGATTTAAATTTAATCAAGATTTATAACCCGTAGTTAAAACTAGTGATTTAAATAATCAAATGAAGTAATTAAATTAATAAAATTTAAAAATGATTTTATTAATTATAATCGTAAACGCTCTAATGATAAAATAATCGAATGAACATAAATTATTTAAAAATGATTTTTAATATTCAATGATTATAGATAGTATTAGACAATAGATACTAGAGTATTTAAAATTCTCCAAAAAAACTTTAAAAAGTAAAAAAGTTTTTTTCGTTGCTAGAATATAATAGTTCTAGTTTTGAGCTTGGTTTTTTACTTTTTGAAAGTTTTTTTTTTAGGAATATCAGTATTTTTATTTTACACCAAGAACTATAATATATAATGCTTACACTCAGTCAAAAAATGCCCATACAAATCTTTTCTAAAAAAGTTTTCATAAATATTTTTAAAGGTTCAAAATATTAAGGGTTGGTAATCGTACCACAAATTAATTTAGCATACATATTTTATATTTTAATAAAATAAACTATTTTTTAATTAAAATATAATTTTAATAAATTTCTAATTAAAAATATTTAAAAAAATAATAATGCACCAAAAAGTTTCCATACACTTATAATATAATTTATTAATTTAGTTAATTTATTAATTAGGTTATTTTTAATTTTTTTAATTAATAACGTGTACATTCACCTTTTGCTTTAATAACATCAATCAAACGATTCTTCATACTATTTACTAATTTTTTAGTGATTTCTTGGTCAATTACATTCCATGCTGTTAAAATTGCATTTTTCAACTGCTGCTTATTTCGAACATTGTGTGATCTAATTTTTCTTCCTATTTCATCCCATAGATGTTCGATAGGGTTCATATCAGCTGACTCAGATGATGTATAAAGTTTTTTAGGAACATTATGTATCAACCATTCTTTAACTCGTTTTACCGTATGTTTTGGATCATTAACTTGTTAAAAGATAAATTAACTTCCCAAACTCATTTGTCCACACTACTTTTTAAATTATTTCTTAAAATATCTAAATAATTGTATTGATCCATTATACCAACTGAATTTCTTACTCCTGAAGCACTCATACATCCCCATACTAATATATTACCAATTACCACTTCCATGTTTAACAGATGCGCATAAGTTCTGTATTTTTATTGTTCATTTGGTTTTCTCCATACATTTCCTCTACCATTGGATGAAAATACATTAAATTTTGATCCGTCAGAAAAAATTACTGAGTTCCAGAAACTTATAGGCTTATCAACAGTACTGTATTGGTAAATAAATTTTTGGGTGTACGCATTAAAAAAATATGGATATTAAAATCTTAAAATAAATTTTCTCGCTTCGCTCGACAATATTTTTCTCTCGATACATTCGAGAAAATTTAATTAATCATTTGTATCTACATGATTATCACTTCTAATAAGACTATAAAATATAATTTTACAAGATATACATTTGCCGCGCGTTATGAATTGCATAATGCAGATTTAAGAACCATGGGCTGAATACCTACTCTCCATATTATTTTCTTCAATGTTATTCACTACATTTAACAAAATACATTCAACACAACGTACACTGTAATATTCAACAGATAAATATTTCATTAAATTTCATAGTTCATAACAATTTTTCCAATGAAATATTATTATTACTATTAAATTATTATTTTTTTTTTTTTTTTTTTTTTGTAACAGTTATTTTAGAAGCGTATACCCGTAAAATAATATTTTACATTAAGTATACGCTGAAAATCGAAAATCTACTGATGGGTATACGCAGTATACCCGCGTATAAATACCAATACACCTCTGCTTATCAGTATGCGCTTTTGAGAAATCTAGACTTTTCCTTAACTGCTCTTATAAATGGTTTTTGTCTAGGAGTACACGTATTATATCCATATCTCTTCAAAACATTTCTCACTGTTTATGGTACTACATTTACACCATAGTTCTTCTTTTAACCATACCCGCCAGTTTTGGTGCACTTGTCTTGGCATTTTCTACTACTGTTTTTAGAATTGCCCATCGTTGGTTTGAGTCTAATTTTCTAGGACAACGTGAACGAGGCCTATTGCTCAATATTTTAATTTATTTTTGTCGGTTAATTATATATTTAACCGTCGCGTGTGATTTATTTACAATTTTAGCAATTTTTCGAAGATTTTCCTTCTTCTCTTAATCAAATAATTAATGCACGAACTTTAGTAGGTACTTCTATGGTTAACGTATGTTGTAGTAAATAAAAAGTTTACGTATAATTAACGTAGTAAAAAAAAAAATTTAATGTATACAAATATGAAAAATCACAATAAATTGATGTATTAGACTTCATAATAACGAGTACACTGACAGGAAAAATGAATGGAAACTTTTGGTGAAAATAATTTAATTATATGGATATTCCGACTGAATTTATCTCTACACAAATATTTTTACCTAAATTTGCCACGAAAATTAAATAATTGATTCTTGAGGAATGTTTTGGTTGATAAATAAAAATTCTAATGTTTAATTTAATATTTATTGAAATCATTTTATAAATTAAAATGTAATATATAGAAACATTTTTGACTGAGTGTATGTATCGCATTCCTAGAATACAAACGGCATAACTTAGAAATAGTAATTACTGAGAAAATGTAATAAAAGATTTTAAAAATTTTCAAAACCGTGTCTGACAATATAATTTGCTGTGATATTTTGACTTTTTTTTTTTGTCATTAATCATTATTTTCTATTTTCAAAGGAGTTTAAGAAATAATTTAATAGTTAACATCACAAAAAAAATAAATCAATTTCAATAATAAACAATCTTAAAGAGAAAAATAAATATATTTTATATTTTTATCACATTATACTTTGAATTAAACTTAAAATAAGATAAAAAAAAAAAAGAGATGAGTACAAATTATAGATATTTATCCCGGGGTTTCAGCAGTGGAGCCAACTCAAAATCGACATTTTTTTAATTATGACATTTGTATTCTAGGGTTGCAATATTATGTACCTAACCTATATGTATAATAATATAATCATCATTATTGTTAACATTATCATTATGTTTTTTTCATAGTTTGATGTATCGGGTATTTGATAAAGCCTATACTAAATACAATATATCTGTATGCAGTATGCTGTATTTTATATACATGTGTTATGTTCATTTCGGTCTCTGCACATATAAATGTTATTAAATTTTATTTTTAATATGTTATGGCATCCATTGTTGTAGTCGGCATGGGTTTTATCTAAATAAAAATAATAATTATTAAGTAATCTAATGTGATCACACTCTGCAGTCGACAATTCCGGCATATTACGTATTATTCTAATATTCTAATATTAATATAAAATAAACATATACACAATATACGAATGAAATAAGAGTAATAATAAGAAGTAATCATTAAGACTATACTACTATACTATAATAGGATTTTAAAGTTATGTTAAAATACATTTTATAAAATATTTTTGACTTAATCATAAAAGAAATCAAAATAAGAATTGTTTGTTTTTAGAATTATAAAATGTTTGTAATACAAACGTATCAGCTAGAAATTGTATAATGGTTGAGACTTATATATTTACTGAAATTACTTGAATTTCGGCGTACATCTATAAAATATACCGAAGAAGTGTTATGCATATTTAAGATTAATGCCCATTTTGGGGGCATTTTTAGACAATTTTGAGTTATTTTAAAATTTTCCTTTTTTTGGTCCCTAATTACCTCCAATAAGAAATTGTATCTAAATTTTTGTCAAGTTTCATAAATACATTTTTTCTCTTGGCTTGAAGGTCGACCGAGTGACTTGATTTGTATACTTGTTATTTTATTTATTAATATAGATATTATAGAATAAAAATAAATAAAAATGAATGATTAAGATTATAATATATGATACATATTATGTTGTTTGTCCTGTGTATAACTTAGATAATATACTATATAATCTAAGGTTTATTACAAACGGAAACTATAGTTTAAAGTGTTACATTCTTTTGGTATTTCAGTATCTCGCTTACCGATTATTTATAATGTAAACATTATAATAAACCGGTCAAAGCAATGTTAAATGTATATAATCTTAACCATTTGAATGAATCATTTAATTATTTTACTAGGGCTTGGAATTTCATGCATTTTTCATTTTTTTTTTTCGAACTTTATGGGCGATACTCTCCTGACCACAAATGTGTTACATTAATATATGATTCCGAGTACTAATTTTTATTTTTCATTTTTTGGTGTTTATTAATTTTTAATTTATTTTTTGACATTTTTATTCATTTTTACTGATTTCACACTAATTCATTAGAAATCGTTTCTTGTCGACATATCGATAACCTAAGACTTGTCCGATTTCATATTGCTGATTACATTCATTGTTGTTGTGTTGGAGTGAATATTATTATACCTACATTTTATTACTTTTTCATAATATTCGGATTAGTATCCGATTTTATCTCGTCGATTACAGTCGTCGCTTCATTGACATGTTAAATAATAATTAAGTGAATAATACCTATTATATTTAAATTTTATTATTTTTTCGTAATATTTTAGAAATGACAAAAATTATAACGTCGGTTAGTGCTCGTCTGCGTCTCCCAATAATTTCAGTGGACGTAGAGAAAAATTTTTCCAAATATAAATATTTATATAAACAAATAATCGTTCATTTACTTTTGATAACATCAAATACGCTCTAATCGTACAATACAATGATTTTGATTTTTAAGTAACTTGTAAGCTTTGATAAATGTATAAAAAAAAAATGTTTGTCATTTTTTTATTTCATATTTTTGTCATTTTAATGTCATATTTTGAGTAATTTGTAAGTTTTGATAAATTTATATAGAATATTATAGTAAAATATTTAAAAAATATTATTGTTAATTTAAAACAACTATTTATAATTTTTAGGTCAGTTAAGGTCATCAACTTCCAAACCCTAGTTATTATTACTCTTATCATTCAATTATTCGATTATTTTTTTTCGACTACTTATCATTCTATTATTCGATTATTTTTTTTTTTTTCGATTATTCCCATGATTAATTTAAACATCTGGAAATACTGGGTTCTTTAAAATTATTGCCAAACATTGATATTTTTATAGTGAATGTTTTTATTTTGTTTGTTTAATTAACGTGGCTTAAGATAAGATTCATGTTTTTTCATGTCTGTTATCTCGTTAATAATTTTTAGAGATAGTAAGTTCTAACATGGAAATAACATGATATTATGATATATTGTTTGATTTTAACTTCTTTGTCTAATTTTTATCTGATAACACAAGTAGTATTAGTGTAATAGCATAATAGGAAAAAAAGTTTTTTCAGTCATATTGTGATTCTAATTCATACAAATATTAATAATAATCAGTAGTTATACTAAATAACTTATTAAAAATGTATTAATGTAATTAATATGTTCTTGTATAATCAAATATTAAATATGTTGTATAATCGAATTTTACGGGGTCGGAAATAATATATAGTAAATATTTGTCACTATAACCTAATTTAAGTAATACCGATGTTAAAAGAAATGGTGGTAAAAATGATTAGATTGTCAAAACTGTCTTTTAACATTAAAGTATATATATATATATGTTTATGTTTTTATATTGTTGCTATCTCGCTTGAAACAGATAATTTACGAATCCATATTAACCTATTTCAGGGGGTTGTCTTTATGAATCTTATTTACATGACGATTTCTTAAAACATTTAAACGTAAAGCATCAACAATGTGATAAATTTTGTTGTTACATTTGTGCTAGTCAAGATAATGGCGAAGGATTTATTGCACTCCAGCCAAAATTAATGATTTCAGTAAGCAAGTTGAATGTATTAAAAATTTATATGTATTTAAATGATTTACAAATTGTTCTCATTTTTTGTTCTTTAACCATATATTCTATTTTTACTTTTTACTGTCAGAAAGGTATTACTGATGTATTATCTACATTAATTAATTAATGTCATATTAATTTTTTTGATGCGAATAATTTTGTTGATTATCTAAATAAAAATATGTTCTAATTTAGTTTAATTTAAATTTATTAATTTTTAATTTTTTTATTTAGCATTTTAAGCTGCACAACATAAATGTATATCAATGTATTTTTTGCTTGCATGGTACTGAAAGTACTGAATCAATGTCAAATCATTTAGCAATGGAACATTTTGAATATAAACCTTTATGCTTAAAGCGTTCTCCAGTATCTGATACTTGTGTATGAATATTTTATATTAATAATTTATAAATCTTTAATATATATTTATTATAGTACATTATAAATTCACAGGACATTTCAAAAATTAAAAATTTGAAAATTATGAAATTAAATAAAACTGTTGAAAAAGATTGGGTAAAAATAATAAATTCATCCCCAGAAACAAGTTGTTCACCAGAAATATTAAAGAAAAAAACTCGAAAGAGACGTTTAAAATGTTCTGATGTCTTGTCAACAGCCTTAAAATCTGTTAGTGATGATAAAAATGTTAAACCGGCAGATGCAATTATTATAACAGTTCCTGATAGAGCTCAAATGACTGAAGATAATAGTACATCAATAACCTTACCTATTGATAATGAATTCATAATTCTTGATGATGTAAACCAAAACGATATGCAAGATCCACTAAAACTTGATTCTGTTTTGTCGGAAACCAAAAATAATGAAGAGGAGTTGCAACAATCTAATGATGATGTTATAATAATTGATGATGAAGAAGATTTATTAGGTAATGATACATTTAATATAAAAGAAAAGAAAGTTCCTACTAAAAGAAAACATTCTTCTGAAGAAACAGTTGATCAATCAAATAAGGTTAAAAGATTAGCTTTTCCAACTGTTGAATTGGATAAATTATTTAATTGTAAAGAATGTGGTCAGTATTAAATTTAGTTAAACTAATATCAAACATGAAACTAAATTTATTTATTTGTGTTCCAGATCAAACTTTCTCAAACAGCAATGATTATCATATTCACTTAAATAAGTGTCCATTTTGGAATTTTGATGGTCAGAAATGTAGATTTTGTTCCAAAATATTTAAAACAACATTTAATATGAGTGAACATGTACAACTTCATGGACCTAATCGTTTCAAATGTTGTTTATGCAACTTAAATTTGCCATCTCGTCGAGCTATTGCATTCCATATGAGAAATAACCATAAAATTTCAAATTTAGAGTTTATACCTGAAATCCCTGGATTAACTAATTTGGATAAAGATACATTTGTTGTTGCAGAAAAAAAAAATTTGACTAATAATGAACACAAAGTTAATCGTTGCAATGTTAATTTTAAGTGTGGTGAGTGTTCATTTAAAGGTAACACTCGGAAAATTGCAGTTTTGCACATGAAGAATGCTCATAATATTAATGATTATGAGATAACACCAGTGGATTCATCATCAATTAATACCCGAGAATATTTAATTCAAAGAATGAAATTTATCAATGTCCTAATGCCTCAACAACAAAGTACAACCATGAAAATAAAACGTAATGTAAGTAATATTTAAATTGTTGATCACAATAAACGTGTCATATTTTTAATTCCAATTAGTATACATTTATTAAATATTTACTAATGGGTGTATTTTTTATAATTAGAATGGTAGCAATAAAAAAGCATCTTCAAAAACAAAAGATATCACCCAAGACAAAAAAAAAACCTTAATGTTTAGTCCTAATACTATTGACAATATACCAAAGTCACATATTTTTACTGAACCAATTGGCTGTTCACTATGTACTTATAATACAAAAGTACGATCTAATCTAATTATACATTTAAATGGACATACAATAGGACAAGATGATATTACTAAAGAAATTGTTAATCCTGTACCATCTATGGGAAAATCAGAACTTATGTTTGATAAGATGATTAATCTATCTGCCAGTTCATTTGATGCTATGAATACTCTGAAGGTGAGAATTTTAACCCATCAGTCTTAAATAATTATTATACTTAACACATAATATTTCATTTTTTCTTTTCTATAAATTTATACAATTTTAATCATCAAAAAAAAAATGTTCAGGCTAATGTTTAATAATTGTTTCAGATGAAAACTGATGAAATTAATAAGAAGATTGTTGAAGTAGCTTTAGAAGACAATTTAAAAATTGATTCATATCCTCAATTTATTTCTAAAAATATCCGCTATAAATGTTCAATACCTTGTACTTATACATGTATTACTGAACATATGCTTAAGTCACATATATTAATTATTCATCCAGATTCTCAGTTTTATATGTAAGTCACTTACTTTTTATAGTAATATTTTGATAATAAATTATAATAGTACATTTTTATAGATGTCCTCATTGTCCACAAAATAGCACCTTAGCTAAAGTAGAGTTGAACCAAATAGAATTACATTTAATGCATCATAGTGAAAACTTATATCGTTGTCAATATTGTGATTACATTGACTTTAATCGAAATGAAATGAGAGCACACATGAGAAAATCTCATTTGCCTGAAATTACTAATACGAATCAATCAAACATAATTGTAATTAGACAAATGGAGTTAGAAGATATTAATATTGATAGAATTAAAAACCAAGGTATGTATTTTGTATTTCTGTAATTTTTTTCATTTAAGGTTATAAATGCTTTAATAATATATTATTAAACATTTATGTATTTATTATTACAGCTCAATCAACTGCAAGTCAATGGATATGCAATATGTGTTCTTTTGGTATTAAATATACACTAAACGAGATAACATCTCATATTTTTAAAGTTCATAAAGTATCATGCATGTTTAAATGCCCTATGTGTCAGTTTGAAAACAATGATGATGATGCAAGAGTATTTGAACACCATTATAAGTTAAATCATCCATCTGTGGCAGTAAAATGTTTAAGAGTATTTGAAAAGGTCAGTTATTCTTGAATCAATTTTTAAAAGATTTAAATTATAAAACAATAAGTAATATATTTTTCTTAACAAAAGTGCATTTAAAAATCTTATTTTATTGTAAATCAAACACAATTGGTACTTCGAAGATGTATACTTAATTTTTAGTTTTAGTTTAGTATCTTAAGCTTTAGTTAAAAATGATTTTACAAATTGAATAACAAGAATTATGTTTATTTGATTAAATGTATAGATAGCCATAATTTTCTAACACATGTGCAATAAAAATTTCAACATATCAATTAATTAATTCGATAAAGATTTGAATTTGTTGTAGTCTACTTAATTCTAGATTATACATATTTAAAATATTCATGAGATTCCATGCACATGATGTTTTCGACCTTGTATTGAAATATTTCAATTAAAACATAAATTGAAATAATCATTATTTTAATGTTCTTAAATAAATAAAAAAATGTCTAATACTTTATTAATATCTAATAATTAAAAACAAATTAAACTTAAATATAAACCTAAATATAAATGTTTTGCAGATGAGATTAAATATATAAAATATTTTATTCTAAAAAATAATTATCTTCCATCGTTTGTTTGAACAGTTTTGGCAAATCGAAGGCGCTGTATGTTCTTTATATATATATGATTGGCACTCGTTACACAAATTTGTTTTCAGTTTTTTTTTTCCAATATTAAAATGCACATCTTCCAGGAACATTTACTGTATTTTGTACTGGTTCTTCTATAGCAGTGTTTCCCAACCTATGGGTCGCGACTGTCGACCAGTTGCATCAGGCAGTACTATTTATAATTATTTATAATACTATATTATCACATATTTTAATTTTTTTTTTTTAGTTAGAGGGTTGTGTTACGTTATCAACAAGCAGTAAATTTGTGGGTTGCCATTACAAAATGATTGGGAAACACTGTTCTATAGTGTTTATGATTTCACGTATACAAACCTTATGTTTTATTCATTGAGAATAAAAACTGGATAGTACATAACATCTTATCAGTGTTCCGATAGTTTAAAAGTAACCCATAATTGAGTTTTATTTATTGGATATCTATATCCATGGTTTTCATACAATTAAATTGTGTATAAATGTCACAGTACACCACGCAACATAGTCTTTAGACCGTATATTAATAATGAACTTTGAGCTCTAATATAGATATTAAATCGTATACAGTTAGGAATTGTGTCTAATTTTAGTTTATTACCTTATTAGAAGGTACTTAGGTTAGGTTAGGTTAATATTTCATATTTTTGAAACAATGAAAAAAATTCTAAAAACCCAATCTTTTAAACCTTGAAGTGTGTGTTATAGGGTTAAGATTTTCTTAAGTTAAGACTTTCTTATTTTTTTCTTTTTAATTACATATGCATATACAAAATAATTATAATCATTTTTTTATAATTTTTAATTCTATTTTATGAAATTTTTGGAGAAACCAAAAAAGTGAAAACAGTGATCTATGTAGACTTAACAACAAATTAAAATAGTTTTTAAAATTCTTTTTGTATCAATTAATGAATCGGTGTATTGTTAATAGAAAACATCTAAATCCCTATGTTATATTGCATAATTTTTTCATAAACATGATAATATTTTTTTAATTGATTTGGCTATAAGATACAAATAAAATTAGTATCTAGTTTTATGTATGATAAGATTGATATAAATCAAATTTACTGTATTAAATTTTTTTTAAAGCGTATAATATCTAATCTTTGCATAGATTGGGTGTTTTTGAGTGCACTGATATTTTATTCAAATACACACAATTAAGATGGTTAAGGTGTTTTAAGTTAAAGATGACTAAAGTTTATCTTTATTAAGAAAACCTTGATCTTGTGTTTTACCATTTTTATTATGATTTAGGTGACTGATGAAGAAAAACCAGACAAACAACCTGTGATAGCAGCAAACATGCTGGAACAGCAAGCTTTAGAAAGTATTGAACCATCACTTGTACCTCCTACGTGTCGAGGAATTCCTATTGAATCAATGCCTACAAATAAAGCATCAAATAAATCAACATCTAAGAGTCCAAAAAAAACAGCTAAAAATTCCTCTCCACATCAAGTCCACAAACAAAAAACATTAGTAGATGATTTCAATAAAGATGATAGTTTAGGATATATTTCTTCAAATGGACAATATACTTGTCCTAGATGCAATATTTTTAAGACTATGAATATAGAACATTTTCGCGATCATTTATATAAAGATGTCAATTATAAAACGTAAATGAAAAACTTTTTTATAATTTATATCAATTACAACATATGTGTTTTATAGATGGAAATGTATGAACTGTTTTGAAATATCTGATTCTCCAAAGAAAATGGCATGGCATGTTAAAAAACATGGTGATGGAAGCAAGTATGAAAAAGTCGAAGATAATGAAAAATTAAAATGGGTAATATATTAATATTCCTTTATGCCCTTTGAAAAAAATTTTTTATTTATTTTAAAAATCTACAATACAAAAATTTGAATAGGTTGAAAGGGTAATTGAACATCAAAATAAATTATTCTATGATTTAAAGAAAAATAAAAAACAGCGTACTCAAGGTCCAGAACAAAATAAAACTGTAGTAGCTGATAAAAAGACAAAAAATTCTCCGTCAAAGAAAGTAAGGATAGAAACAATAATTATTTATTATTTTAATACAATATATTTTTTTATTGTTTAGAAAAATATTGTAAACGAGAAAAAGATATTAAACCATCCAATTACTGATGACGATATCATTAATCTTTTAGATGACTCTGATGATGAATAATTTGGTAATTATGTAAATATTTATTGTGATAAATAATATTTTCTTTATTAATTGTTATAATATTTAGAATATTATTTTAATTCTATAACTCTAATTAAATTTTTTCAGGCGATCAAAAATTGTCATATTTGTAAGACTGACAAAATGGCTGTTTTTATTTTTTATTAATTATAACTCATTCCTAAATAGAAGGAAAGTAAAAAAAATGATAATAATTTGTTCATGTATACTAAATACTAAAGTTGTTCATTTTTGTTTACTTTTTTTGTTAAACATTTTAATTATAAATAAATATGCAAAAGACTGTTAATTATATTTGATTATTTATCCATTGTATAGAATTTATTAGCTGTAAATAATAGCATTAAATTATAATGTTTCCATTACAGGAATTTTTAAACACTTAGTATTTACCTAATTAATTTTTAATTATTTATAAATATAGTTATGGTACTATTGTTTGGAAAGTTACTTATATTATTATTATTTTATATAGAAAAAACACAAAATTTGCAATGTTTTATAATTATTCGTTTTAAACATTAAGCTTACTTTTAGTATAAAAATATTAAAACATAATATTTGAAGTAGTAGTAAGAAGCTTGAATTCTCAATTTAAGTTTTATATATATATATATATATATATATATGTTTGTATGTATGTATTGATGTAAGTGATTGGTCGTTTTAATTTCATAATAAATTAAATTTAAATTTTCTTATTCGAACCTATAAAAAATTAAAAATTATTTGAAATTTAAATATTAAATTATAGGCACTATTTGGAAAGGAAACCTACATTGTTTTAGTTACACAAAAATATTGTTATATCTGTTGTTTTATCAAATCATAGCAGTATTTTAGTTAATATTTATGTTGACGTCTATTAACAATTTAGTATTAATTTATTAATAAAGCAATAATGACGTGGTACTTATGTAAGTATGCCTTTAATTGTACAGATAAATTTTCTTCAACAAGATTTAATAAAAGAAAAAAATGTTTTTAAAAATAGAATGTTGTTATGATTTACCAAAGAATAACATTTGACACGGTCGTGTCGCACGAATACCGCGATCTCACCCGTTCCAACCCTTTGCTTTGGTGTCACCATTCGTTCGGTTATCAATCGGGACGCCCGATAGATTAATCGAACCAGTTTTCGGAGTCGGCGATGAGCCCCGAAGCGTTGGCGGACGGTGTGACGACCGTCGCGAACGACGGCGGCGTTTGTCTGCTTTTTGCCGTCACCGTGGCCTTTTATTTTTATCTCGTATTTTGTATTTCAACATTATTTCTTTTTTATAATTCTTGTCATTTTACATTTTTTTTTTGTTAATTTCTCTTTTTATTGTTTTCTTTTTCTCTTTATTATTATTACAATAAAGAGTCATTATTATTATTATTAGTTCAAAATTGTTTTGTGGTATTATTATTATTATTAATATATATTTAATTTCAATTTTATTTTCTCTTATAAATTTTGTGTGTCTGTGTTGTGCTCGAGACATATTAATGGGAAGTGATCTATCAGAAAGAAACATTTTAGATACTTATGTAATTTACTAATATTATATTATAAACATTCTAAATCAAACATGTAATTACATTTTACCATTAAATTAAATAGTAGACTATTATATGTTGCTAAAACAGGATGTGATGATTACCTATTTGTGGATATTGCATGTGATTTATGCATCAGTAATGATTTTTTACCCTAATGTAATTTCTGATAGTGCATTACATTTTTTTTCTTCATTTTAACCAAGAGACCGGGAGGGATTTGTTTTTTACACTACTGTCTCCCGGCCTCTTATTGTTTATTTAATTAATACGTTACATTGCTGTTGAGATGACGAGTGGGACATGCCCCCTCTGGTCACCCCTAACATCTTAGATACAAGTTACGTGTTTTTTTTTTTTTCAAAGCCTTATGTTGTGGAATCCTCCCCGTTAGCGCTCGCGTTCCAGCTCCTCGCCCATGATAGCCTCCACCATCTGATTGAAGGTCCGACGCTAGCGCTCCACCATGTCCCGCAACCTCATCACTACTCCCGCGACCGTTGGCAGCTGTGCCTCCTCTGGGCCCAGCAAGATGTCCGGCATGTCCACCTGACGTAACGTCCTGCCGATCACTCTCTATGCTTCCTGCTACAGGACTACCCATTGTGGACAGCGAAACAGGGTGCGATCGGCCGTGTTGTCTAAAGATGATTCTTGCACGTTCTGTGACCAGTAGATGTGCCGGAGGCATCCTGGCCAGGACTAAAACCGCCATGTCGAATACGGTTCTGTAGCACCTGGCCACGCGCAATGCTGACCGCCGCTGTACCTGAGTGTAGGTATTGCGGCTCTTCGCCGCTGCCCACACTGGTGCTCCATACTGTAGCTTGCTAGAGTATACTGTATACTTGCTATTGACTACTGACATAAGTAGTTGCCTCTTGATATACGATGGATCACCAATGTTAACCATCAGTCTGCCAATTGCAACCACCGTCCAACTGTTTGTCTAAATCTAGAATAACCGATCCTGTCAAAAAATCATGGTATTTTTCTTAGTCGTGCACTCGTCCCGAAATTAATATATCTCTAGTTGCATACGCCTTACATGTTTCATTTAACAATATCTTTCCAACCCCTTTGATGGTGTGGCTGATCTACTGCTTGTCTTTGTCACATGTGACGAACAGTGTTTCGCCTTTTGTGGTGTATAACCATACATTCTTAAATTTAAGTTTGTGAAATACAGGTGAAGCTGTTTGCACGTGCAGTAGGCTGCAATCTTCAGATACCTCCTTTGGATCTTGTAAGAGTAAAATCTCACAAATTGGTTTTCCACTCCTTAGATGTAAACGATGGATTTCAGGATAAAGTAGGAAGTCACGTGAACGTTTACAATTTGCTTGTTCAAAATTGTCGTAAGTGGAATAAAGATCCATAGATCGGCTTACGGCTAAAAACTTATAGCTAGGTTTAATAAAAATACAATTATTGCTTTCGCATACTGGCTTAGGTATTAAATGAAACAGAGTTAATGTATGTTGGTGAACTAATGGTATGCTTATCTTAAAAACTAAACGGTCATTATCATAATATACAGTCAGTTCCGATAGTTTAAGTAATTCGTAGGAGTCCCCTAGATCTAATTCTATGGGCAAGTCCGTCCCACTTGGAAGTCCTAATTTTATGTCCTTAAATTGTTCGGGTGGAGGGGGGGGATTCAGCAGGCTTGGTGTATTTGTCCTGTTTTTGCAATTTGCACTATTTACCCTATGATATCCATTTTTATGAAATATTATGCAAGAAGTATAATTATGAATATAAAATTATTTGCAATTTGAACCCCCTTTAGAGCTCCCTCTGCTGCAGTTCTAATTCGTTCTAGAGTAACCGCATATTCTTCCAATATAAGTGCTTCCTTCCTTTGAGTCAGATCCACTAATTTGAGCTGTTTTTCCTCGTCCCTAAATTCTTTTGTCCCATCAGATCTCATTTGATCTAAGTTCTTATTTATTTCTCTCATACAGTGAAAATCACATAATCCGAACAAAAGCTTAGTTGTTTTGGCTATTGCTCCTCATGGTATGCTTCTTTTTGTTCTTCCACTGTGTCCTACAGATCCTAATATTAGCTCCCGTTTTTCCTTAATCTGCCTAACGTAAAATTGGTTACTTTGTATAACCGTGCACAATATTGGTTGGTCGTGTTGGTGATTGGGCTGAAACAATAGTCCGCCGCATTCGCAATGTGTCGATGGAGCACTTCTGTATTAATAGTATACTTTGATACCCTTAAGTACGCCGTGAGATCCCATTTGGACGTTTCAATTTTGATCGGTCCCTGGTTCTCAAAGAATATCCCAGATGGTTATGGAAGCTTTTCGTCCACAAACCGGGATATTCCATTCGGTTAAAAGTAAAACATTCAAACATAGCCTGAAAATAGTGTTGATTCCCCTTAATATGTGTCTTCTGAATATAAATCTACCCTTATGTAATAATGCTGCTAAGGCTAAATGAAAATTAATTGGATTAGTATTAAGATTGTGGTATCCTAATTACTCTTTTGTTTTATAAAAGATTTTGATATTATTTTTGTGGGTCCTATAATCCCTTCTCTCTTTCTTTATGGTAATGTTTTCATTCCCATGTACCACGACAACCTCATATGGTCCCTGCCAATTCTTTCCCAAAGCATTTAATTTATTATGATCCTTCAGTACAATCTTATCTCTTACATGTACTTTTATTGGATGGCTTGTTGCGTATTAGTACCGTTTGTTTGTTTCCTTTTTCTGTATTAAGTTATTTTTTGCAATTTTATGATTCTCCTGCATTACACGCTTGAGGTTAAAAAAATAATCTCCATAATTGTATTGTGGTTTCGATTCCCTAAGAAAAGTGGTTGGAATCGAAGGTTTTCTTCCAAATACTAATTATATATAATAATTCGTACGCGGTAAATCCCGTAGAAATATGGATGGTTGTATTGTAGCAGAATGTTGCATAACATAAAAGTTGGTCTCATTTACTATTTTTATCTACAAAACTGCGTAAATATGCTTTTAAGGTTTTATGAGACCGTTATAGAAATCCGTTCGTCTGCGGATGCCATGGGGTTGTCTTTGATTTTTCGATATACAAAAATTTGGACACATTTTCAAACAGATCCGATAGAAAATTAGTCCAACACTCAGTTAGAATGGACGTGGGAATCCCATAAATGCACACGAAACATTCCACGAATGCGTGTGTTAATGTTTGTGCATCAGTAGTAGCTAATGCAATTGCAAGTGCGTACCGAGATAACTCGTCTTGTATCGTAAGAATGTGTGTATTGCCTATATTTGTTGATGGAAATGGCCCAACTATGTCCATGCATATTAGCTCAAAAGGTTTAGTTACCGTGGTTGTAATAATCATCGGTTGTTTAGTTTAGTAATGTGATTTATTTTTCTGACATATTTCGCAATTTTTTATATAACGTTTTACGTCTGTTTTCAGGTGTTTCCAATTATAATTAAGTTATAACCGTTTGATTGTACGAGATACTCCTGAATGACCCCTTAAAAGAGCATCATGGTATTCATATATTTGTCTATGTTTTTTTTCTTGTGTAAAATTTTGTTCGGTGTAGATCTTAACATTAATATTAGTTTTATATCAGAGTTGGTGTTGATTTTGAGATTAAAAGTCCTGAC